CACGCCACCCGTGCCCCCATCTTCAGACACGAGGCTGCGCACGATCCAAGCACAAGCTGGAAAGCTCCCCCCCCCAAGGATAGGGATGGTACACCCCCCCACACGTAGATGCAATAGGGGGGCCTTGGGTCGAGGGAATAGCCGTCCGCTGGTGAGACAGACTCATTCACTTTGACACAGCACAGCCGTGTCAAGTGCAATGCGGTTCGGGGCATTTCGCTGTCCCGTCGAAGATTTCATCTCAAAGCGGAGGGAGGGAGGGATTACCCAGGAGAAGTGAGTGAACCCTTCCCACCCCTCCCTTTCCCCGCAATCTCCCATTCATGTGAGATTTCTGGGAATTGGGGGGTTTCGTTAAAAGCCAACCTGGGCCTGGCCGCGTATGAGCCCGGGTCCATTTCAGTAACAAACGTAAACTCCAGCCCCAAATAGTGTCGGGGGAGGGAAAAAAAGCAAGGAAAGCATAGTTCCTATTCAATAAATGATATTAACTACCCCACCTGATGCTCGCACAGTCATTTTTTCCCTCCCTGTGAACAGGTATGCGGCGCGCAGCTGGGCAAATGTGGGTGAGACATGTTGATCTCAGCCGCTGAGACACAAAAGGGGTGTCGGGTGGTCTCGATGTGGCTTGTGACTTGGTGTAGTCCAGGCAACCTGCGTACATTCCGCCATGAGATTTTGTGTCGCTGATGAATTGCGCCGGGTTAGGAGATGTGAGCGCGAAGCACGGTGTTGATGAAGGAATGGCGGTTGAGGCAGGCTGCGCATTTGAACATCAGTACCCAAAACTGTCTATGACGACGCCAAATCACGAGTCTCGATCATGAGATTAGACACCTCTTCTCATTTGTGAAATCAGCATTGGTTTGGTCCACATCATCAATCGCAGTACGAAGTTGATATCGCCTCATCAGTTCTTGGGCACCACTTGCCCGCCTCAGTGGCACGAGTATAAGGTAGTGTAAAGAGTGGCACACCAAGACCACCGACCTTGTCTTTCGACAAAAAGCAATACGATAAGCAAGAGGGAGTGAAGGCAATATCTAGTATCAACAATTGTTTCGCGGGTTCATAGTGGTGCTTCCAATCCATTAGAAATTATCAGGTCATGATTTGCAGACATGTCCGGCTGAGTGCTATGCGTGCGGAGGTGGCTTAATTCAGATGCTATGATACACTATGTCGATACTGTTGTAACCAGCTAATTAAATAGGAAAACAACTATCGTGATTGTCGCTTTTATATGGGTTGACTGTACATTTATGTTACGTGCGCCTCCGCCTCCAGGGCTTAACCAGCAAAGGCCTGGCCGACAGCGCCAGCCAGCTCACCAAACAAGATGCCCTTGAAGACCCCCTCGCCCATATCCCGAGTCCATTTCCCGGCGTCTAGTAGCTTCTCCTTCCAAGCCTCTTTGTGTTCTTCGGATAGTTCATCCCAGCGTTTGGCCTCATCGTCAGCCTCCCGATGAGCGTCGACTCGGATCTGGTTTGCGAGAGCTTCGGCTGTGGGGGCCTCCTTCTCAACCTCGCTGTCCTCCTCAGCTTCACTGTCCTTCTCGGTCTCGCTGTCCTCAACCTCGCTGTACTCCTCATCCTCCTCATCCTCTTCATCTCCCTCCTCGCCCCCGTATTCCTCATCTTCATCATTGTACTCATACTCCTCGTCAGCGTCGTCTGGCAGAATGTCTCTGAGGATAAGGGTCTCTCCAGTCAGCTCCTCGTTGCCTGCGACGAGGTTGGCGATGAAGCTCTCTTGAAGGAGCGCTGCGGCCTGATGTCCGGGGGTGCGCAGGGTGCCGTGCCACGAGGGGAAGACCTTGTGGGCGTGCAAGATGGGCTTGCTTCCTCCGTACACCTCCATGACGGCCTGTCCGATGATTGCCAGTAGCAGAACGATGACCGTCAAGATGATGATAATGGGGCGAGACGAGGGTGTTTGAGACTTCATGGCCACAACGTATCTCGTCGCCCTCGGGGGTCCCTTTGGATTTCGCGGTGTCTTGTCCACATACTTCTTCAGGGGGATCGAATACACCGAGACTGTGCTCTGTAGAGAAATGCTGGCGAGCTTGACGAACTGTGGGCGGGGGTTCGACTTTGGAGCGACGAATGTAGAAAACGAGAGGCCAGTAAGGTTGTCAGAGTTATTGGGGGTTTTGATTGTGGTGAGGGGGTAGAGATTGAGGAGGAGGGGAAGTTGCGCGGTAATCATGTGTTCCAGTGTATAGACGTAGACGGACGAGTCGTTTCCAGCGACGGCTATGAGAAACTGCGTCTCCGTGACTGGCGTTGTCAAGTTCGCTGGGGGGCTAAGATTTGTCACAGACAGGGCGGTTGCGTTGATCTTGCCTGGTATCCTTGCGGTGACCGCGAGTCTAGCCGTTTCGTGTCCTGGCTTCGGCAGGCGGAGCCCCTGAATAATGATGCCATTCTTCTTTGGCAAGTTCGAGATGGCGAGGATGAAGTTGGGCGTCAGGAAGCGGATAGAGCGGAACATGGGCCTTTCTCCATGGTCATCGGGCATCGTGTAGACCAGCTCTGGGTCACCTTGCTCCTTGGAGATCTTGACCACATGCAGCTCGTACTTGTGGCAAAAAGCAACCAGATAGTCATTCTCGGCTGTTTGAATAACATCCAGATCCTCAGCCTCCCGGGGCAGCTCAAACACACCCTTGACCTTGGGATTGGGTCCAGTTGCCTCGAAAATGCCAATTTGGGGGTCCTTGCCCATAGCTGTCGAGGCGACGCCGAGCTGCCCAACAACGCGCAGAAGGCGCTGGTATGAATTTTCGTCCGGGTCTGTGAACATCGATGTGCGCGATATCTCCGAGACCTTTGTCGAAGGGCCGGCGGCCTTCTCACGCGCCTTGGGCAGCTCAATGGCGAGGGTGCGAAGGTGCTCATTGGTGCCTTTTGCGATGGACTCGGGGCTCGAGTTGACACCAGCATAGAGGTGAGTCGTCTTGCCCTTGCGAGCGCCCAGGGCGAGGGACATTACGCTGTCCTCATCGCGAGAGAGTGTAATATCGCCAGCCGTCTGGATTTCTGTTTGCGACGTGGTTTCTAGAACCGCCTGGGCAATAATTGTTAGCTGCGCTGCTTTGCGACCTTGCCATGCGCCGGGAGAATGGTAGGTTCAAGTAATTACAATTTTGTTTCCAACGCCAGAGCGACCGGCGCCTCCTCCTCCGCCTACCACAAGTCGGTTCGAATCCTCCGTGTCGAAATCGATGGCATAGAGCGGGAAGTTGAGCTCGATGCTGGCACTCTCGAATGGCGGAGCCATGGTCTGGGGTGTCGCGGCGCTGTGTTGAAGTAATGGTGGGGAAAAAGTAAATGCGTAGGATGATTATTTTGAGAGGAGGAAAGGAAAACCAAATGGCAAGTTGTTGGGTTGTGAGGCGCTTGGTGCGCACACGATATGAAGTTTAGACCAGATGTTCAATGTAGATGCCACACATGCAGATCGACGATGATGACGGAGTACTTCTTTAGGGGTACATGTGTGGCTGAAATCGCACCGCCACACCTCTGTAGCTGGGTGACACAAGAAACGAGACACCAGATTGAAGAGCAGTCATTCGAGTGCGCTTTGCGCAATAAATAGAATAGTAAGGAAGTATAAAACAGTTGAATGGAAAATGCATTGTATATTGTCTCTTCAGACTTTATTATTAGCTCTCAATAATATGACAATACTAATCCTAGACTCGAAAATGTGGCGGGATCATGTTTGAGGGTATCAATTAATTTCGACGTGTGGCTTAGCTCGGTTTATTAATGCAAGCTGCACGAGAAGCGTAAGCAAAGTTCACAATCAGCATTTGGAGAAGCAGCTGGAGATTTGTACACAGTCCGTACACAATATGTTTCTTGCAATTAACGTAGAGTGTAATATCTACTGAAATCGACCTTCTATTTGTAGGCTGTCTGACACTGCGCTATAAGGACACCGTGCCAAGTATTATGCAAATGACAAATGACATCCAACATATGTACTCTCCTCCTCTATAGGCTGTGCCCAATGAGCCCGACTGCAGTTTCTATCAGCCATAATGAGGCATTCTTGTAGCCACTATTGGCTGGTTTTGTAAACTCAGCCGCACGAGGCAACTGTCGAGCTTTTTTTTACCACTCCTCTTTCTCATCTCTCTCGAGTTTCGTCAATATCTGGTCAACATTTTCCATCCACCCACGTACATGCAATAGTTTTCACTATAACCAACCGAAGCAATTTAGATATCAATACTGCCGTCGATGAAGAAGCTCAGCGCTGCGAGCTACCGAATGGGATGGATCTGCCCGTTGGAGGTCGAACAGGTTGTGGCAATGCATATGTTTGATGGAAAGCACGAGCGTCTTGGCCAATCTCCCGCCAATAACAACGTCTACAACCTCACGGCATCGTTGACGGAGTCTCGAGGATTCAATGAAAAGTAATTACTCCAAAAACCAAACCTTCACTAGCCTAATCAAACCGGCTTGAACTGTCCAGCACTGAGGTAAGATGGTCATGTCTATCCTAGGCACTACTGCGCCCTGTGTCCTAGCGGAATACCTATACTACAAAAATTTCCATGTCACTATGTGTATTTAGCTTGCGGGAACGTTTGCTGCTGTTTTACTTGTCTGCACTATAGTAGCCTCGATGATATTGGACAGTTATCGATCCTGAGGTATGCTATATACTCTTGAAGTTGTAGAACTGAGAATTCTCTTAAAAGTGAGATTATAATGAGTTAATAAAGGTTTAATTATTATAGGAATATATAATAAGTAATTTAGGATAATAGCTTTAATCTTAAATATAATTAGTAGTCTATATCTATACTTTCTACTTTAGAAAAAGTTTATCCCAGGCTGGACCGACCTGAGGACTTGGCATCATCATCTTACAATTTGGCTCCGCGCTACCCCTGCGGTTTTCTGCGGTAACACTCAACTGGGAAGACCTCCTCAATCGCAAATGAAGCTTGAAAGAAATGAATCTTCAGCATGGACGGCATAATATCTGAATGCGCTATATCATTTCGAGTACAAAGCTTCCCCCCCTTGGTATTGTAGTCACTCTTTCTCTCTTCCCATTCTGTTTGTTCTAGAATTTACCATTGACTCAACTTCCATTATCTAGACCGGCAAGCTTGTTGCAGTCGATATTGATTCTCTTCAAGAGGATAAGAACACTGTCTACCAAGCCCATATTGGTATCTCTATTATTGATGCTCAATCTCTCCTTCATCCTAGCCTCGACAATCTTGCAGCAATCGAATCCCATCATCTTGTTGTTGGAAGTCCTAAATTTGAAAGAATCAAGGCTAATCGATTTCTATTTGGAGATTGGGAAAATATACCTCGACCGGCCATTAAGCAACATATCAATGAAATACTCCAAGGCCCTGAAACAACTTTAGTATTCCATGAAGGGGGCCGAGAGATCTCGGTACTTGAGAGACTCGACATTCAGCTCAGTCAGTACAGAGTTATTGATACGACAACTTTGGTACGGTCACCAGTACCTCCACGCTACAAATACTCGCTAGAAGCGCTGCTGCAAGAACTCGGGATACCTTTCGCGAATCTCCATTCTGCTGGGAACGACGCACATTTCATCCTCAGGGCTCTGCTGATGCTGGCTGTCAGATACGCTGAAGGTCAGCAAGAGGCTAATCTTCCAGACTGGGCACATCCAGACTTGGTACAGACGGCCCGAGAGATTTCCCAAGCCCCGAGGCCACTGACAAAGGCGGAGAAGATGGAAACACCAGAAGCCAAACGCAAGCTTCGAAAAAAGATGAACAAGAAAAAAAAGCGCGGAGGCGTCCCCGCTGCCGTCGCCGAAGAGGCGAGAGGAGAAGCCCCAGGTGCTAATACACCATAGATATCCTTGAAGCTGGTTTGCCTGCAATTGAAAATATATCTTCACAGGCTCGACAGCGCGTTTTGCCGTACTGGTTCAAATAAGCTGCCTACAGCTGATAAGGAATCTGAAAGGCTCAACGCTGAAGTTCCATTGTACAGTTTTTCCAAACACACCCCCTTGGAAGGGGCCGATTGTGGTTGTGGGCCGGTGACGACCAGCGAATACCGACTGTTTTATGGTTTCCTTTTATCTTTTGCCTGGATTTTGCCTGGATTTTGCCTGGATTTTGCCTGGATTTTGCCGCAGGCTGAGCACACCCCAATGCGTTGTTTTGTATTGAGAATCCCTGCTGGGACTGATAGCTGATGATTCTGTGACTTCTGAAAGTGGGCACCCCACTCTGCGAACTATCCTTTGGAGCCCTCAAGCTTTTTGGTTTTCTCTCGAGTGAACACTATACCAAAGAATATCACAACGGATCCATCATACTCCTGACTCTCTCAGACAGGCTCCCAGTGAAAGGGACACCCAAAAAGATCCAATGCCAGGCAAGCAGCATCTTCTACCAAGCTATGGAAAACATGGTGGAAATCTTCTTGAAGCGCAGGACGGAGATGGGCCAGCTCTGAAGGGATTTAATTCGCCTTCGAACGAGCGTAATCTGGAGTTAAGCCAACGGAGATGACGCGGCCGGATATCTGACGCTAGATGGAAATACTCTCCTTAGGGTAAAGGGAACTATGCCTCGATATGAGAATGGTCTCTGAGGCTTAGTTCTAAGTAGGGGTGGTGGTACACTCTGCTATATCTTTGCCTAAGGTAGTTGTACCATGTTGTTGCCTACTTTGTTCTAGGCCTTGTTGAAGTGCCTGTAATACCTATGTATGGCAAGAGTAATGATATTCACAGGAAGCTTTAGGGTCGATTAAACGAAAGATAATATGGGCAAAGGAGGCGTATCGCACGAAACGATACTCGTCTGTCTAGGAAAGCAGAGGCTTCTTCGATAGGTGCTTTCCGCCAGCGAGCTGAGAGTACTTTCATTCCTTCGACGGTGATCACAGTGGTGCCCTCGAATGGCTCTATAACTATCTAGTTGGTTTTTCATGCCTTCTGGAATATACTAGACGGCACTGACATTATTTGCCAAATACTCTACGTAACGCTTCAGCATGGCCAGCTTTACACTACCATATATTGTGCCCAAGCCCCAGAGGTTAGTTACAGCTTGGTAGGCATGGTTGATGTAGACTAGAAAAACACATTTTAGTTTGAATCAACAACTGCAGCGCCCCCATAGAGTCCGTACGTATTGCAAAAAGTTGTCAGTAGTCTTGAAGCTCGTGAAAAAACTGGACCTCTTTGTCCCTCATGTTCTTCCAGAACCCTCCTGGATCTGCAAGAAGCTCACAGCATTATGAGGGGTGTGTATCGCAAAATCTAAACCCTACCTCAGGCTGTTGACGATATCTTCTAGGTAGCCTGTTAATATACCTGAACACTCCTCCTAGTGATAGCTATAAGATTGTCTACAGACAAGCGAGGAAGGAAGGTGTCGATACGATAGGTATGTCTTTGCCACCTACGGGCTCGAGATATACCTGGAAATGTCCAAAAATTAGTGTAAACCTCGTGTCATAGTCAAAGTGTTACGTAGCTGGTCAATTTGAGAGGGCTTCAATAAGGACGCTGATAATGAAGAGTTCAATATCCATGTATGTTTAGCGTGCTAAGTGGGATGGCCGACCTTCCTCCATCTTAGATACTGCTTGCTGGTTGGCATTGGGGGTGGGGTGCCAGTTGAGACTGACGAAGGCATGGTTCGGCTGGGCCATGTGGTTGTCAGTAAGCCAACTGGTGAACACTCTGGAGCCATACAATACGACCATGGAAAGGCAAATCGAGGCCATCTTGAACGCACTGGCTCTCTTATGCCGCCTCTAGCGGCACTTCTCAATGCCGCATAGGACCTAGCTGTATAACGGATGATGATGGACCATGATCCTGTCTGGGGGAACATACAAAGAATCCAGACAGAAGCCCGGGGTCTGCGACGATTCAAGTTTCCAGGTTACACCGCCGATTACCTCTATAAATCTCATCATCAACACAAGCGACCGGAAACATCTTGTGACAAAGCAGGATGTAATCCAGAGGAGCGTATCGAGAGAGCTATGGATCCAGATGAGAAGTCTTTTGTTGTAGTGCATCGAGGCACCATAGCCTCTGGAGAATTAGTACTGAAGGATGTGAAGAAGAGAGATCGCCTAGCGTAGACGTACGGTTTCTTATGCTTTGAGATGGAGGCTGCTGGGGCGCTTACCGAGTTCCCTTGCCTGGTGATTCGTGGCATTTCTGACTACTGCGACTCTCACAAGAATGATGACTGGCAAGGATTCGCGGCAGCCGCAGCGTCTGTGTATGCCAGACAATTGTTCTTTCACATGCCTATTGAGGTGACGCAGATGCAAGTACAAGTTCGAGCGGAGGTCTTCATGCATGCATAGCTAACCGGGCAGTTAAGCAGACCCGAGAGTTAAATACCCACCGATTTATCCAAACACGCTCAATGTATGTAAGCATGCAAAGTAAATAAGGGCGATAATTTACATACTAAGAATACCTAGTTTTGGTCCCATATAATGAGAACCCCGAGTTCGTTGGCAGATCTGATATTCTAGCCAGACTCCAACAACAACTTCATGTTGGCCAGCCACAAGGGCTTGTTAAGCCGCATTCAAGAGTCGCACTCTATGGTCTTGGTGGGATCGGGTATGTTATCTTGTGTCTTGTTCAAGTACATAAGCTGACATTAGTACAGAAAAACGCAGATTGCACTGGCATATGTGTACTGGCTCCGTGAGACCTATCCAGATGTCGCAATTTTCTGGGTACATGGCGGTAAAGCAGAACAATTTCACGAGGTTTATGCTTCCATTGCGAGAGAATGCAACATTCCGGGACACGACGATCCAAAGGCCGACAAATTACGGCTCGTCAAGCAATGGCTCGAGCAATATTTCAAGACTCGTGGCTAATGGTGATTGATAATGCTGATGATATCGAGCTGTTCTTCAGATCACATCAAGACAGGCCATCAGTGACAACGACCGAATGTTCTCATAGAGAGTCTGACCTTGCGTGCTATATCCCGGATTGCAGGCACGAATCAATTCTTGTTACCACCAGAAACAAACAGGCAGGGCTGAAATTGACCCAAGGAAAGTCCTTGATTAGGGTCGGCAATATAGAGAAGAATGAAGCACACTTGCTGTTATGTGCAATTTTGGACGACAACCAGCTTCCTGAACATGACACACACCTCCTCGCGTCTAAACTTGAACACATACCACTTGCCCTCGCACAAGCAGCGTCCTTTATTTAAGAAAATACCACATCTATCAACGAATATATCCAATTACTGGATGACAGTGACTCAGAATGCTAAGACGTCTGAGTGAGTCTTTTGTGACAGTGGGAAAAGACTCAGAAACGCCACATGCAGTCACTGCAACATGGATCATCTCTTTCGAACTAAAGAAGCGAAATAAGTTGGCAAGCAACTTCCTATCTTTCCTTAGCTTCTTTCATTGGCAAGCGGTCCCCAAGGAATTTGTGCATGACTATTGTAGTCGCCTGCCACCGAGCGATGCAGTTACCATCACAACGTCAGCAATTACAAAGGCTCTGGGCATTCTCAAAGCCTTTTCTTTTATCTCAGAGGACAAGGACCGGAATATGAACATGCACCGGCTCGTACAATTAGTGACGCGTAAATGGCTTGCTACTAGAGGTACAACTGCGGGGTTCGGGCTACGAGCTCTTGTAACGGTGTCTTCACTTTACCCATATGGTGACAGTTACGAGACGCAAAGAGGACGTTCAGAACTTCTTCCACATGCATATGTTATTCTAGAGAATAATAGATGCACTTATTATGACGAAACAGACACATATGTGGCAGAAAGTTCCCCTCCCTCAGCGTCAGAGACGACAGATTCAAGAGATCGAAACGCTATGCAAGCAGAAATTGCAAATGACATGAGTGAAAAAAAAACAATGGTCTGGGAAGCCATCGAAAGAGATGATTGCAAAGGCATGTCTGTTGCATAATATGGGGGGGGGATTTTTTTAGTCAGGCCCGCAGCCATCGTCCATCACGGCGAAAGATAGCTGGGACGGCTTCATACGGAATAGCTAGGGCTACGGATAACAGCTGGATCTTCTGGGTGGTTATTTCCTGGTATAAAAGCTCATAGCTGTAACATAGCCAATTTCAGAAAGGATATCGAAGCGGAATACATCAAAATCGTGCCCAGAGTTGTTTATTCTAAGAGTTCCATGCTACTCTACTACCGGCCTCGGCCTTAACATCATTTGTTGGCCAAGTTGATATGTACTGCCTTGACATTATAGTAGCCTCTCAAGCCATCCTCTCCCAGCTCCCTTCCCAATCCACTCTCCTTCACGCCCCCAAACGGGACTCTCACATCCGAGTCGTTACTACTGTTCACCCATATCATCCCTGCTTCCATATCCCTCGCCAATCTATGCGCCCGGGCCAAGTCATTGGTGAATACCGCTCCTGCAAGGCCATATCGTGTTCCGTTTGCGATCGATAGTGCTTCCGCCTCGGTTGTGAATTTAGCAATGGCCGCGCAGGGCCCGAATATCTCCTCCTGAAAGACGACCGAAGGGGTCGACACGTCTGTAAAGATTGTTGGGGGGACAAAGAAGCCCGTAGAAGGTAGAGCCGCAGAAGCGGGTTGATATATCGACGTCCCGGCTGCCTTGGCTGACGATATATATGCAAGTATTCGATCTCGCTGTTGTGCTGATACCTGCGGACCCTGGAACGTTGTCTCATCAAACGGGTCACCTAGCACCGAGACTTGGCTGGTGTAGGCCTTGAAGCGATCCACAAACGCGCCGTATACTTTCTCTTGCACGAGAATCCGCGAGGTTGCCGTACATACCTGCCCCTGGTTGGCCATGATGCCCTCGTGAGCCCAACGCACGGCCTGCTCCAAGTCACAGTCCTCAAAGACAATCAGCGGGCTCTTGCCACCCGTCTCCAGCGTAATCGCCTTCATGGTCGCCGCTGCCATCCGCATAATCTCCTTGCCCGTAGAAGTGCTACCCGTAAACGCAACTTTATCTACATCCGCGTGGGACGCCAGAGCCGCGCCAGCCTCATATCCATGCCCATTGACGATGTTGATGACGCCAGGTGGGAAACCAGCTTCTCGGATCAGAGTTGCGAGATAGAGCATCGAGAGTGGAGTATTCTCTGCGAGCTTCAGGACGATGGTGTTGCCGCAGCAGAGGGAAGGGCCAAGCTTCCATGCTGCCATAGCTAGGGGGTAGTTCCATGGGATGATTTGGCCACAGACACCAACTGGCTGTTTGAGAGTGTATGCCATTTTCCTAGGGCCAACATCAATGACAGAGCCGAAAATTTTGTCGGCGAAGCCGGCATAGTAGCGAAGAACCTCCGAGAACTGTGGCACATCGTAGGACCGTGATGCTGAGAGGGGCTTCCCGTTATCCAAACTCTCAATGGTAGCCAATATCTCAGCATGTTCGTCCACGAGAGAAGCCAGCTTCACCATAAGGTTCCCACGGTCTGTGCCGGAAAGAGATTTCCAGGCCGGACTGCGGAGAGCCCTCCTAGCTGAGGACACGGCATGATCAATGTCTGCTTGTGCCGCAGCGAAAACAGAGCATATCTCTTGCTCTGTACTGCGCCAAAAAGAATCAGATTAAAGATGCGGGCATGAGGATCGCAAAGAGCTCACAATGGATCAAGAGTTTCCAGTGCTTTGCGTTCTTGGCTCCGAACAAACTCATTGTCTATGAAAAGACCAAGAGGCTGGGTCCATTGAAGACCATTGCGGGCTGTTAGCTGTATTTCCAGCTGATTCTGGGAACTCCATCTCCTGGTAAAATCTACCAAGGGGCGGCGAAGCTTTGGCCTTAGGGAGTATAAGCTCCGCATGTCTCATGTCCCAGATTTGCCTTGATTCTACAATCGAATCTAATAGAAACGGCCTGCCTCCTTCGGCAAAGAGAATGGAGTACGCGGCCTGGCTACTTCCAAGAGCACCATTCAATTTGACCTATAAGTGATATTGTACTGACCGAGAAATTGTATTTGGCTGGCTTAGATGAACATCATGGAGGTTACCTAGCCTCCATGATGCTGGTTGTGGTGGGCTTGTGAGGGGTCTCTAGATGGCCGGGGCCGGGGCCGGGTGTCGGATCCGGAATTATGTTTTCAACTGAAAGTAACTTCAATCAGATAAAGGGATAAACAATCAGTTTTTATAGCAATTACCATACAAAGAACCATAGAATATTTCCCAAAATTTCATCAGCTCATCACGCTTTTTATTTGATTAATTATCCGCTATCCTTCGTACATGCGGCTAAATTAGAAGGTTGTGTTCAAGCTCTCTCTGTTAGTCGTGGATGGATTAACGGTCGGACCGCTGATTTCGGACACAACGCAAACCCTGCCCATTCAATCCATCTCTTGAGGGCAACATCGACGTCACCGAGACAAAACCGTCCCTACCGCTCACCAGGCACTCAATTGGCCTGAGGAGTACCCGAAGTCATACTCTCTGCCACCTCTGTGGCCATGCGCAACGGCCACCGCCAAGCAATCCGGTCTCTCTCACATCTTCGAGCCCATTCCTGGCCTCCTCGCGTTAGACACCCTCTCGAATCACATCTACCAAATCCCTGGCGACTCCTAGCTGGCAAGGACGGGGCTACGCCACGACGACGAACCTTAACCCTCCCCTGGGGGAAAAGAATGCCTCGAACGATGTTCCGTCCCGTATCGCTCTAATTGGAGCCTGAGGGTACACTGGACAGGCTTTGATCGACCTCCTCAATAATCATCCGTACATGGACCTCCGCCATGTGTCATCACGGGAGCTGGCAGGCCAAGAGCTCAAGGGCTACGACAAGCGCAAGATCATTTACGAAAACCTGAGCCCCGAAGATGCGATCGAATTAGACAAGTCTGGCAAGGTTGACGGGTGGGTTCTGGCGCTCCCCAATGGCGTGGCCAAGCCCTTTGTTGACGCCTTTGACAATGCCAACTCGAAGAGCCGTTATTGTTGATCTCTCCGCCGACTACCGTTTCGATGCCTCGTGGACGTACGCTTTACCGGAGCTTACCAAGCGATCCGCGATTTGCCAGAGTACTCGGATTTCAAACCCTGGCTGTTATGCGACGGGCTTCCGGCTCACCTTGGCACCCATGCTTGAACACCTAGGAGGTGTGCCCTGTATATTTGGTGTATCGGGGAACTCTGGCGCAGGCACTCGACCTAGCCCGAATAACGATCTTAACAGACTGAAGGACAACTTGGTACCATATTCGTTGATAGGCCATATTTACGAGCGAGAAATTAGTCGGCACCTTGGCACTCCGGTTGCTTTTATCCCACATGTCGCTTCCTGGTTTAGGGGCATTTACCTTACCATCAACATTCCCCTGAATAAAACCATGACCTCGCGCGATATCCGCTATATCTACTAGGACCGATATGCTGGCGAGAAGCTCGTCAAGGTTGTCGGTGAAGCTCCTCTTGTAAGAAGTATTTCCGGGCTACATGGCGTCGAGATCGGGGAATTTGCTGTCGATAGTACCGGCAAGAGGGTGGTTGTTTGCAGCACGATAGACAACTTGAACAAGGGGGCGTTGCGAGATACCTGCTCAAGCAAAGTCTAAGGGCCCAATCGAATTATTCCCCGCGGTCTTTAGACGGGTTCGAGGGATAATCGCCGAGTATGTGATCGAAATTCTGGCCCTCATCGAAATGCATATGGTATCTCGGCTGTCTCATGATCCTCCTATACTCGGGGTATTCCCCTCTATCCCAATCAAAGACTAGACCACCCTTCGCGCTCTGTTCTTTGGCATAGATAAGAAGATCTATATGAACTGATTCATATACCCTGAATAACATCGTAGCCTTTCTCTTGGAGCAGCTTTCAGCGCTATACATTTTTGACTTGGAATGAATTGCTTCCACTCGGTCAATGAAGTCCCTGCAGGCCGCTTGGAGCTCAGCGACCGGGTTGAAGAGCTCGGAGATTGTGTCTGCTTCTCTCTTGGGATAAACCAAATCGTCTTCGTCGATATCTCTTAATTTCAGCTCAAAATCGTTGGTGTCTTCCACAAGGCAGGCGACTGGACTTGCTATTTCGCTGAAAACCTTGTCGAACATCTCAAACACGGTATGTCCAGTGTTGTCACCGCCGCCCAGCGGCCTCAACTGGCCTAGGAGGCCATCAACGGCTGTTTTGGCCTCAGCGAGCGTGTCCTCGCGCACATTAAGCAGGTGTAATATGCGCACGGTGTTATCGTCATCATCACCCTCGACCATGAGGACCACGTCGCGGTCACGCAACTTCAAATCAAGCTCCTGCAGGCCAGGACCATTAGGGGCCAGCGAGTACGTGACGCTTGAAAATGGGCCTACATCATTATCGTGATAAGGCGGCGGGTACTCCATCTTGAGGAAGTAAGGGTGGTCTTTTGTCGCGTTGTGTCAGTCCTTGCTTAGTCTTACGCTAGTCAAAGCGATGAATTCTGTAAAGGGCAAAGGGAATAGCTTTTCTTACTGAAGCGGCGGAGGCTGGTCTCGTGAAGTGTGTTGCAATCCTGACTGGCCTGCCTTCTTCGTGTAGGTAGGTAGACAGGGTATATAGTCAGCGCAAGGAGTAGTAGGAAGAGGTGGAGTTGGTCTTGGGAGGGGCAGAAGTGGTTGCCTTAAATCGAGGAGGGGCATCTTCAATACCTCTAAAAATAGCCAAGCCAGCTGAAAAAATATCCCGATCCTCCACCTTTATGTTGGCTGGGTATGCAAGACTTGAAGCCAAGTAATAATCAACAAGTGTTCAATTTGGCGTCTGACTCATCCTAGTAGCTCTGTCCATGACATTTCCCCCTCACCATTTCCCTCAATTGAACCAAATTACACTCAAGCATTGTGGTTTTTCATATCCAATCCGAGCTCCTCATCGGCGCATCCATCAATCCCTATGATTTGATTTCTGTTACGCACCATGTCTCTCAAAGCGCTACCCGTGGAAATTTTGACACAAATCCTCCACCATGGTTGTTTCCCCTGCGAATCGCGCCAACATCTCAGCAAGTTCATCACGCTGCGGCGAGTTTCCCGTATGAGGTCACCAAAGAATCCGAGCTCGCTATACTCTTACATTAATCTCTCATAGGATATTTTGATGATTTGGTCTCTCGTGTAGCTTTGCCGGCCCTGAGCCGATACGCGCTTGGGGATGGTACAGACCGTACAGGGGCCATCAGCCCACCTGGTCTCAGATGGTTGTTGATGACCAAGATCCGGATGAGTCAAACAGACCGCGTGGGGCCCTTTGCGCTTCTACTCGACTCGAGGTTGTTCTTGAAACAAAGCAACGCGATATGCGCCGAGGACGAGGAGGCTTTCCTCGACGTTGCGTGCCGCACCATACTCGCGGCACATGATGCTCGTTGGATCGTCGAGTTCTTGGTTGAAGGGCAGCGGTTCTTCACTCCTTGGTCTCAGCAGTTGGATGCGTATAAAAAGAGACTTGAAGCTGAGGAATGGGCAGATAAGTCGCCAGAACCACAGGAATTCTATGGCGCACTGCAGATTGCTTCAACATTGGGGGATTGGCCAACAATGGAGTCCCTTATCAAGGGAGGCGTTCGAGCCGACCGTGTGCATCCGCTCTTCGGCAGCGCAGCACGTGTGGCCATTTCACTGGACCACTTGCACATTGTGCAAGGCCTCGTCCGTTGCGGCCATGATCCGAACGCGCAGATATGCTTGATTGGGAACAGAAATCTGCTCCTCTACGCAGGTGAACTGGGCCGGAGGGACATGATGGAATTCCTCCTCACCTTGCCAGAGATCCAAACAAGCACAAAGCATGAAGCGACCGAAGAGACTGCTCTGTTCTGGGCGGCTGGACGAGGCTGGACCGAAGCGGTCAGGCTTCTGTTATCGAACCCTGGCACTGAGCCCGGCCCGGCTGCTCTTGACGTCGCCGTCAAAGAGGGACACGAGGACATTGTGAGGCTGCTTGTCGCGAGAGACGACTTGAAGCCCAATTTCGGCGTGAGGAGGCGCTGCTCTTTGTGGCTAGCTGTTCAGCACGACAGAGACTGGGCTGTGAAGCTGCTCCTGGACCGATACGCTGTAAACCCCAACATGGAGATTAGGGGTGGGGAGACAATGCTGGCTTTGGCAGCCAAGCTTGGTCACGAATCTGTCGTCCGGGTTCTTCTGCAGCGCGACGATATCAACCCCAACCACCAAGCCCAGGGAGAAAGAAAAACCGCCCTACAATATGCTGCCACTGAAAATCACCTCGGTGTGGTTGAAGCTCTCCTCGAAAGCCCAAGGTTAGATGTCAAGGCTACTCACGACGGGGTGTTTGCATTGGAGATTGCCGTTTACAAGCGCCACGTCAAATGTGCGAGACTCATCCTTGGACGCATGAACAAGGCAGACAAAGATTTGGAAGGAGCTCTTATGCTTGCTGTCCGTCGTGGTAGCGTGTCTCTAGTCCGATTGTTCCACGAGGATGCCCAGATACGAAGCTGCTTGCCATATGCATTCAGCCTAGCTTTATTCCAAGCAGCGCTCGAGGGCGCCACCGACATGGTCGGGGAGATTATCAAGTACGACGAGATCGACCCGAACCGCACCTACGCCACGTGCTTTTCTCGCAAGGACACGGCACTCTTCGCCGCCGTTCACAGAGGGCATGTCGATGCTGCACGGCTCGTCCTGAGCCACCCAAGGCTCGACATCAACCACACAGGGTTTAACGGGACAGTCTTGGGACTGCTCGCTGACCGAGGAGATCAAAGGCTGATGAAGGATGTGCTCCGCAACGCCAACCTCGATGTCAATATTCGTGCCCCAGGTTATCAAGATAACATCATTGTTTACAGACAGGATCCAGACGAGCCACACGGGAAGTTTACGGACGACTTTGACATGAGATTTACATGGGACGACACTCCCTTGTTGAGAGCGGCTAGAAAGGGCTTCTTCATCTCCGTGCGAATCCTTCTTGAGGATCCTCGCACTGACGTGTGCGCGACAAGTAGTGACCAAAGGACGGCACTCTGGTGGGCTGTATACTGGAACAGGGAGAGCATCGTCAGGCGCTTGCTGGAGGCCGACAACAGGGCCGTGAACATGCGAGACGTGGAGGGTTGGACCCCCTTGCACCTAGCCGTAAACTTATCTAGATCGGAGAGCATGCTGCGACTGCTTCTGGAGCAACAACACGTTGATCCAAACATCACCACCGAAGCTGGCTGGACGGCACTTCATCTGGCCATGCTTTGCTGTACCACCAAGGCGGTTGAGGCTCTGCTCGACCACCCCGGAATCGACACCTCTGTGCGTCTTGGAGATGGGAGAACGCTGTCCGAGGTCCACGCTCCCGGTGGTTGCGATTGCAAGTCGCTAGTTCAGTCTCGAAACCTTGAATGATTAAGGATGATTGCAAGTATCTATGAAGAGAACTAAGTCAATCATGTCGGGCATCCATCATGGGTGTCCACTTCGACTGCTGAACAACAGGCAACCCCGCTAGCTAGTAGGCGGGTTGTGGGGAATATCGTTGGCCCCGGATCGCCGCTAATCGGGACGCTTGCAAGGAATCTCCTCATGCCACCCGGTCAAATAATTGAGAACTCGCTGAACACAAGGCGGCCTCCTTTGGCATCGGTTCCTACCTGGCCCTCGTCTTGTATATGATCCTCCACCTATTCGATAATTCTAAGGCTATTATTATCATAATATGTAATTTAACTACAGTTCAAGACTTTCTTGCTTACTAGAAACTGAGTTCTCTTTCTTGTGTATAAATATCTAGAACTTAAGGCTTAGTTTATTAAACTGGGCGGAGTAATGAAATTATCTAGTAACACAAGGGCAATATACGTGATGTGTATATAACAGGTACTCAAGCAATCAAGGAAACTTCGTGATATTAATGAATGCTATACCCAAGGGAACTTCTCCCCTCCCATCGGTTACGAGCCTATACCCTAGTGTGGCTCTGCTGCTTCAGTCTTCTCCATGCTATGTAAAGCACGCCTAACAAGCTGTTGTGTCTCCTCATCTGCAAATGTATCCGAGGGCGTCTGCTGGACCCTTTGTAAGAACTGCTTCCACTGTGGCCAGTGCTCTGGCAGAAATTGCTGGGGGTACATCTCGTTTTCGGAGCTGCGACGCAGCTGGACATCCAACCAGACCTTCTTGGGGGCATATATGAGCCATATACACATTAACCTTGCATCCATCCTGGTTGGGCTTTCTTTCGTGACTGGTCTTTGCAGGTGGCTATAGTTCCAAGATATATCCTCTCCATAGAAAGAGAATCCAATCTCAGAAAGTTGCGCAACGTAGGCAGTGCAATTTTGAAAATGCCGACCCTGCTCCTCCTCGGTGCCGTAGGAAGCTACAAAGGCGTGAGAAAATTTGAAATCATTCAATGCGCTTTCTTAGACTCACCGCCTGAGGCATGGTAGTCTGCTAGGATCAATGACATTTGAGGCATGTCAGTCCAGAAGCATTTATCCTCATACTCTAATTCGCCGCCGTTTTCGTGATCGGGAATTGTCACTTGTTGCAGGTAGGTGACAAAGTTGATCAGTTTAGATTGTTCGTCAGGCGCGAGCAGCATAGCCAGCTCATAAATAGCGTTTGCGACGTTGAGAGAGTGGCTGCCCAACGCGTCATCGACCGACGAAGCCGCCGCGATGGAAGTCTGGGCGGCGGTTTCTTCAACCGCTTTAGCGACAGAGAAATCATTTCCGGTGATCAAACGGAACAGGATTTCTCCTTCTGGTGTCTCGCAAAGCTATTGCGTGTTAGAAGCCATCTTCCCTCCCGAAATCTCTCATGCAGATGCAAAGACCGAGATAGACAGGGTAAACCTACGCTGCCGTATAGCGATGCCATATGATTTTGAGTGTTGTCTGCCATGATGCGGCTTTTGTCCGTTATGGAATTAATCTTGGGCAAGGGATGTCCTTGGGAATTTAAGTAGAGTAAAGCGGTGCTGCTTGACGATCTTAGAATGGGCTAACTCACCTTACGGGCAAGAGTCTGGATCCACAAAGCTGATGACAGGAGAAGAGGTGCAAGCCAAAGTCGTGTCCTTTCTCGCCTTGCTGTGTCGGAGGCTGCTAGCTCTGAGGAGTGTGTGTCGTTGACTGAACATGCGCTCTGCGGCCCAGTAGCAAAAGAAAGGACAAAAGAAGAGCAACACTCTGGTCCCACAATGGCCAACACTAGGTCAGCTAAGAAACGCGGGGCAGACCTCGGGCCAACAATCAACTGCGAACAAGCCAGCTCAAGCAGCGAATCAACAAGCACAGTCGTCAAATCAGCAAGGACAAACCCCTAGCCAAAAGAGGAAGCGGCCAGCCGGGCAACCTCAGCCAGGGGGAAGCCACAAGAAAGTAAATCTCGGCCCAGCAAGTCAACCAGCCCAACCCGCAGCGGGGAGCACTAGCGGAACCGGAGCTTGCACATCGAAAAAAAGGGATAGCGAATCATGTGCAATTAGAATAGGGAGCAAGAGCCCAGTTCAGACCAAAGGCATAGAAAATGGGAAACAAAGTGCTAATAAAGGATCGTCTGCAAAAAGTCTCAAGCAGTTGGGTCATCAGAAGCTCTCCAGCAACGGGAGACCCTAAGCCTAGGGTAAGCCTGGAAACTCACGCGGGGCTGTTCGTCAAAAGGGAATTCTTGCGAAAGGCCAGACTGGAAAGGGAAAGGTGGCATCCAAATCACAGAAAGGCAACCCAGGTCGGAGCAAGGCTACAAATCTTTCTAATGGTAAAGGCAACAAGAAGGCTGCTTCTAAAAAGCCTGGGTCTAAGCAGACTACATCAAGGAAGGCCGCACCCACGAAAGCCACAACTCAGAAAGCCGGAGCGAAAAACACTGCAGCAAAGAAGGCCACATCAAAGAAGACCACTCCTAAGAAGGCTGCTCCTCCCAAAAAGGCTGTTGTAAAGAAGGCTGCTCTGAAGAAAGCTGGTCTGAAGAAAGCTGGTCTGAAGAAAGCTGGTCTTCTAAAGAAAGCTACCTCTCCGAAGAAAGGCAAATAGGGCTCTAACAGAGAAATTCGAACCACCCCAGAATACCCAAAAAAACTTACAATAACTTTGTATTCTTATTTTTATTTTCCTTCTCTGTTTCTTTGTAATTAGCAATCCAAATCTTCTACTGTCATTAGTAGAGCAGCGTACTCCAGACATAAATCTTGAAACTTTTATTTTTGAAATAGATTTGATCAGAAGAATCTCGTTCTATGTGGTCGGGGGTGCCGTGTAACTCATTCAACAAAGGTAGGAGTGCCAATACGCAGCTTCATATGACATAAATGCCTATTCTAGACTAGAAAATTGCCGGCCTTTCGGAGCGGGACGAGAAAGACGTTATCCGGCAGTTTCGACACATTATTGGCACGATCATTATTTTGGCGGGTCCCCTTTCAAGAGCAGCTCTCGCGTAATTACTTGGTATACCTAAGACTGATATCAATACCAGACTGCGCCAGCTTCATTCGGTCTTGAGTGTCCAACCATCAGAAAGGTCTCCCGTGCGGCTACTTCATCTATCGTTCCGCGACTTTTTAGTTGATTTCAAAAAACGCGACACAAATCCTTTTTGGGTCGATGAGAAGCGCATGCATCGACAGACAGCGGAGGAATGCCTTCGTTATCATGGGTGAGCACCTACATCAAGACATGTGCCAAGTACAAGCTCCTGGAACACCCCGATCAGCTGTCGACCCTCGGGCGATCGAAAAAATATGTTTCACCGGAGCTCAACTACTCCTGTATGTTCTGGGGATATCGTATTCAACAATCAGATGTTGATGCTTTTGATGCCGGGTACGTTAAAGAGGCCTTGGAAGCTACAGTGAGTTAGGTTGTAGAATAGGATGAAGGAATCAGAACGCGCGGATGGCCGCCAAATACGCCGTCCTAACCGCTTAGCTGACTAGAGAATTCCCGAACCGAGCTCATGGGTTGAGGCCGATATTTTCTCGTATACACCTACGCCAAATGGGACCGAGATGCTGTAGCCTCGAGCCGCCGTACAATCAACAAGTAGCATTCAAACGTATGGAGCCTAAGAAGTCAAATCTCGCTAGAATCTTCCTAGGTAGGCGGCAGAAGAAATAAGACAACAAATTGAAGGGTGGACATAATCTATGATGACTAAAATAATGATATAGTATGAAACGAGCTAATTATTTTTATGTGTATATTGCCTTCATCTTGAATAATCTAACAATGCCGGTCGCAGACTCAAAAATAAGCAGTACCTATGACAATGTTTGAGCGTCTGAGGTTCAACGTGACCAGGTTGTATGCACGTGCCTTTTACTCCATTCTATCGTCTCCACTTCGATGGCATCAGAAGAGACACCCCAAGAGATCTCCCCGCTCTCCTGCAGCAGCGGATCTTACCGAGCGATCTGCTCGACTTGAAAGGTCGCAAGGACGGGGTTATGGCCTGGCCGATTTTATGGGTCGCCATGCCAGGCCAGAAGTCGGTGATCGGTTATCTGCTCAATGCCGTGCTAAGGCACCGGGACTACATCAGATTAGCGCAGCAGATGGATGACGAAGGATGAGCAGCAGGATAAATGCATCTCACAGCAGTGGTCCTATGTTTCTTGGATACTAGTAGCGTAGTACTACGTCTGCTGCTGTGATTTAGAGTAAAGATTTCGCATCTCCCTTGATAGTTAGGCTGCTTAGTGCATTTAACCAACAACATATACATCGTTTTAGACCGTTTGGGGCTACAATGAGATCACTTGAATGGAAAATCTACCACCCTTCCTGAACGCAGGCTATCCCCCGACTGGGTACGTGTACACTTTCCTATTTAGGCTTAGATTGTTTGTTGTCGGCGCTAACGGTACGGGCCGAGATTTCAGCCTTGCCTCCCGAGCTATAAGGTTAAAAGAAATGGAACCCTATATTGATAGTCTTCAGAATAGGTAGGCAATATAAGAACTTCGTCTAGTGCAAGTTCGCTCGTGAGGAGGAGAGGCGACAGCACCCACGGATACAACCTGCCCTCTAGCATCTTGGAGACCACGCAAATCGCGGACAGCGGAGCTACCAGTCAAAGTGAGGGCCCAATCCCGCTCAGGATCTCCAGTGCTTGTGCCATCATAAGCAACAGCGATGATAGTCCGGACCCAAGCTCGACACTCACGGACATGGATCTACCCGGTATTGGTTGAGGTACGCAGAGTGCATTTCACCGTCCAACCTATGGGTCTGCGAGATATGCTCTTTGTGTGTGTATAATCTAGCTGTCCAAATGGATAGGTCAGGTTAGACGGGGTCTTCGTGTGGGCACGGTCCAGCTGTCTCAAGCAGTCCGGTCTGCGAGACATGCTCTTCGTGCCGGCATGAACCAGCTGTCTAAGATGACAGGCTCACTCTAGCAGTTAAAGGAAGGAAGGAAGGAAGGAAGGAAGGAAGGAAGGATCTGTCAGACGGAGGCTTCGTGGATCACTGACGGGTCTATCTGTGTAGGTCGGGTCTGATAGACAGGCTCTTCGTAGGTCGACGATAGAGTTGTCCACGGAGGAAGTATAGGTAGACGGGGTCTTCGGGCTCGAGAGATGTGTGTGTCCAGCGAGGGAGACGGGCCGGACAGGGTCTTCGGGTTGCAGCGATACAGCTGTCTCAATAGGTTGACGGAGACGACAGTTGTATCGCGAGCTGTTGCCTTGGCTGTCCGACGAGGAAGGCAGGCCGGGTAGAGGCTTCGGATTCGTGCGATATAGCTGTCTCGAGAGGTTGACGGAGTGGATAGGTGCATCGCGGGTTGCGGACCTAGCTGTCTGACGAGGGAGACAGGTCGGACGGGCTCTTCGCGCTGGTAGAAGGCGTGATATGACGCTCTTTGGAAGCCGTTTCCCTGACGATAGCAGATATTATGGGAACGCGTGACTCTTAAAGCAGCCTCTCACGAGTGTTCGAACGCCTACGATCGAGTTATATCTTGCACTCTTTGAGGCTCTATAGTGCAGGATGTAATGCTCACGGTAAGGATGCCCTTTTCTGAGCATTACGGTCATCCTCTCTCTTCTTCTCAGCTAATCTGTGACTGCTTTTGCAATCACTGATCAGTGTTGGAAGGCAACTGGATTGAGGCACCTTGCTATTGCAAGTAATGTCTAGTCTAAAAGGTAATGTACATAGAGCCTAATGTAGATAGCTAGTCGGGCTCAAGTAGCCCGACTTTGTGGGTGTAACCTTAGGGCCTAGCCGGAGCCTGGCCGGGGCTCCGGCTATGCTAGCTACAGGTCTTCTAGTTACACTAATAGCTGTAGCCACAAGTATAGAGTATTTAGCGTATGCCCTGTTTTGAAGAATGTATAGAGAAATATTACCTTTTTCCATTAAGGTCCTCGACTAGTAGATCTTACTTGTCATCTATAGAACGTGTTCTAAGCCCAGCCTTAAGCTTCTCTAAATCTTTGCTTCTAACTGGTAGGTCTCAAGGTGCTTCGAGAGGCTCTTTAATAGGCTTAACAAGGCTGCTGTCGTACTGTCGTACCTTGCTGTCCACCACAGTTGTATCTCTTCCTCAGTCGCTGATTCAACATCAACATATAGTGAATCTTCAGACTCAATTTCTGGAATGTCTTCATTCAGGGATCACAGTGATGCCAGTTCCTAGTTAGATGAGATCCCAGCATCCGACATCCGTGAGCGTACTGCAGCTAGAAACGATGCATAAATCGCCCGGCGATATTGAGTCTATCAGAGATCGAGCCAAGCGATGGGAGCGAGATTGGAATGAAGCCATGTACTATTGGATAGATGGGTATGAATTTGAGGGTGGGGATATTGAAGTATCAAACAGGAGTGATGATGGCGAGGAACACAATAGCACTGTATTCTTGGGCAAGTCGACTGGGAAGAGCAGGAGTATCCAGCGAGGCAACGGCGGTCATTCTTGGCTGCTTGATACTGAGTCCTCACGGTTGCTCGTTCGCATATTCTAGCGCTGTTTGAGAAATAATTAATTAAATGCATACACTTCTGGCCTCGCTTAGCTGTAATTTACACAATACACTCCAAGACATCTTGGTCTGTCATGTCTATCCTAAAGTATTTCTTGCTATGAGAAACATTGAGCCCTATTTCCCGTCTGCAACGTCTGGTATTTCAGCTCCATCCTGACTTTTAGACCTTTTGGGTTCCTGCCCTGTTCCCAGAGCCTGAACAATTCCACCTAATACGCCACTTAGATCCTGCTTACCCTGATTTTGTCGCGGAACAAGGCTCCGCGACTTGCCGAACTCTGCTTGGTTATGACCGGTTTTTCGACGTATGATTCCCTCTAGTTCCGGAACACAGGCCTTGGTTCGTTTGTTCCAAACGCTTAGAACGACGACGGACAGCGCTGGAGTTGGACGTAGAGCTCGAGGCAAAGCTCAGTGAGGGGTCGTCGCCGGGGGCCACGAGATCCTTGCTCGTCCTCTCAAAGTCGTCCTCCGTGTGGAGATGGTGGGAGACCGTAGGTGTTGGCTCGCCATCGCCCTCATCAATCTGCTGTTGAAGCTCGTCATCATCAGCATCCTGCAAAGGAATGCATTGTGTAGGATCCACCGAGCCATGCGGGGCCCAGATGTCGCCTTGACGCGGCTCGGTCGAGTCTGCTTGCGCAGCGGTCAACCTTGCCCGAGGCCCTCTGGCGTTTGCTTCCTGGATGAAACGGTCACGATACTGTTTGGCCAAGTCTCTGGCGTTCCTGAACGCACCGACGCCACTGCGGAAATTGTCAATGCTCCCAGTAACTTCCGACCCGTGCAGTTTAATCATGTGGTACTCAGGCTGCCCCTCTGGGGTCGAAGGTGCCGTGATGTGGTGGGCGAAGATCTTTAGGGTGCCACTGTGATAGAACGAGCTGAACGCCGTGTGCTCCGTGCCGTATCTAGGCTGCTTTTCGTTGTAATTTTGTAGGCTATGCATGGCCCGGGATCCAATGGCACCAGCGTAGCAAGCTTGCCGCGTCGTCACAGCCTGGTTTCCGCCTGGGCCCTTGACCTCCAGGAAGAAATTCGGCGCCATCGGCCTGTCCTGTGAAGTCGACGGTATGATATGGCCAGCGAGCTCATCGCGGATCGACCGGTCAAGATCTTTAGGGTCAGCGCCGTAATAGATATCTGGTTTGGCAGTCACGATGGTGCCGTCGGTGAGTGGCTTCAGATTCCCAAACAGGGTATTTTGGCAGCAGAGATGATCGGCTTGATCTGAGCCGGTTATGGTCGGGATCACATTCCTCAACACAGCAGCTTCGCTTTTGGCGGCCATATCTTTCGCCTGAAACGTACTGAAGCTAGTGGGGGGGAACATGGATTGCGAGAGTGATGGCCTCGGTCTAGCCAGTGCTGCCATGACCTCCGCCCATTCTGGCCCTTGCGAGGCGTATGTTGGGGGATGAACTTGATGATCAGCCAAGTGTTGCTCGAAAGCGGCGTCATAGGGGCTTGTCGATTTTCTGCTGGTTGGGGTCGTTACTGGGGTTGGGAGAGTCGATGGATCGGTGGCATTGGCACCTTGGTGTCGCGAAGGGGAGCTCATGGCGTCTGCAGGTCGGTGCCTTCTTGTCGCATGAGGGTACCCTCTAAGGTCATGTAAATCGGGACCGCCGTGTCTCGCAAATCGAGCAAGCTCCCCAGTGGCGGAGGGTATGAGTTTCTGCTCTGGCAAGATCGGACGTGAAGGAAAGGAAGGCCGCTTGTGGGTGCGCCTTTCCAGCTCTTCTAGGGCGTTGTGAACTAGAGGAATGCTGGACAATCTGTCCCAAAACCTGGGCGGATATTTCCAACTAAGTTCACTTCCTGAACAGCTGTCGGTGCGTTGCCGCTTACAGCAGATCGGAGGAGAATCTTCTTGGGGCGAGGGCTCTCCAGGGTGCTGTCGCTTCCAGCTGTGTGATCCCCCTTTCGGTTGTGTGGTCTGGCCTTGAGCAGCCATGGTTGGGAGGTGAATTTAAGAGAGACTTCTGGGAAATTGGGAGTTCACGGTCACGCTAGGGCGGGGGTTTCGGAATTGCAGACGGCAGCGTGCCGCGTCTAAATGTTGGTATAGTGGCTGATTCTCTACGCGGTGCGATGCGAGCCAACGGTTATATGGTTGAACACTCAAGCCGTGGTGAAAAGGCCAGTTGATCGACATTCTGATAACCAGGAATGGCCGTTAGCTCCACCCACACTGGGGTAAGCATACCAACAAACAAGCCTTTTGTCGCGGATGCACGGCTGCCAGCCCTAGGCTGGTGTTGAATGAGCATCCGTTTGGTGAGACACGAAGCTGTAGTGGGGGCTTTCTAGTGTTTGACTAAGTAGGGTCAGGTTTGGCTATTTTGAGGGCATTTTTGGTCATGATGCCATTCCTATCTCAACTGGTCTCGGGATTTCCTTTGTTTACAGTGAGGTGAAGAAAGGCGAAACTATAAGTCTAAGGCTACAAAGACAAGTCAGTCGTAAACGGCTTCGTAGCGTTGCTCGATACGATCAGTAAGGATAAGCGGGATGCTCCACTCATGACCCCCACTCACACGCGGGCGGCCCTTAGCTTAGAGCTTAGGCAGGGCTAATGTAGATCACCTAAAATAGAATTAGCTGGTTAATGTTTGTTCAGCTAATTTAGGTGGGTACCTATCCGCAATCACGACACTGCCCAGGGAAGTATTGGCCGTTTCAGGGTAGACCTAGGATTATGGTGAGCTGATGGAGCTTCTAGATCATTCTTTCAACATTCATTTGCGGACTGCTTATAATTTGAAGACTTGTCAGTGCGCGGTCTCCTCTTCCGACCGTTCTCAGGAAAGTCGTCCTTGAGGATCAAATGGGCGCTTAATTCTCTATCTGAAGGAGCGACAATATTCGGTTTCTCAGGCCTATGTCTAGCCTGCCGATCTCATAAGCAGCAGGCAGTTGCTTTGACGGCAGCTACGGTGTAAAGTTCACGCTGACCGTAAAGCTATTCACGACGGTTGTGATCTTTGCCCTAAGTAGCCTGTACCCGCACCTACATGGATTCTTATCAAACCCTTCCATTCGCAACATTTGGACAGAAATATAATAACGTAGCCCCCCTTCCCGGGACCCATAAGTTTTAGGTACTGATCCTCAACAGACATGAATTGCATTGCCTTTATGATCGGCACATGGTACAGATTCCTCATTCCGACCCAATCCCTCACCGGTCTGCCAAAAGCAGAGCCTAGAGCCCCGGGAGTAAGCCTAACGGTGAGATCAAGACCTCGCTCCGATCTCGGTGCGGCATCGTTCCCTCCTCAAACGACCGGATCAGCCCTTGGATCTTGTGCTGAGCAGGGCCCAGCTTGCTCGCCCGCGGCACATTTCGAACGAGGCTAGAAGTGAATAGTAGAGCACCCGTAAGTGCACCGACTTTGAAAACAGTAGATGGTACGTTGTGTGGCGACGCAAAGGCAAGAATGGAGCACATGAATGTCCTGGGCTTGATGTTAGCTAGAGAGGCCACAAGGCTCGAGGAAACCTTACCATGCGGCTAAGCCTGGAGAGACAGTCCTCCCCGGAGGCTTCTCTTGCTCCTTGGCCTTGTCAAGGATTTCGTCCAGCACTGTCAGGTCTGCCACCGCGGTGTCATGCGAAATCTTGAAGCGCCAGAAATTGCTCTCTGCTTCGTAGCCCTCGGGCATGGAGAAGCCCTCGGGGATGGAGACGTCCTCGCGGATGGAGAAGCCCTCGCGGGTGGAGACTTCTGAGAGTCAGTCAGTCAAGCGTCCGAAGCCCAGGTATCCTGGAGCAACATCACGTACCTTGCGACCGGCCATACGCGTTACTGGGCTCAGTACTGGAGGCTGGAAGGCGATCCAGGCACTCAAAATACTGCTTCATATAGCGGTTTGCCGATCGCCTGTAAACTTCGTATAGTACGAAGATATTGTACCTGCTCTGGTTCCCCGGGCCTGTGTTCCAATATGACAAGACCGAGATCTTTCTAGCTCCAACTATTTGCTGGCGAGAGATGGCGAGAGCAGTACTCTCGTCCGCTGCGCAACTATTCTGATCCATTCTGTCGCCTCTGGTGCCGATGGTTACGGAGGTTGAAGTGGAAGATGTGGCCCCAGCCCAATCTCATCTGGGGGCAGCTGGGTCAACCCTTTTCCAAGGCTTTGTCCGACCAAACATTGTCTGTACTGCCTAGAAGTGTTAGCGGCAAGCCACTGTCTGCTCTGATTGGCTGATCGGGGACGCCCTGCACAGCTGCCAGGGATCACAAATGCTAAGTCGGATCAGATGATATGGTACGGTGAGAGCATTGGCTGAGCTCTTGCTTGGTACCTGAGACGGAAGTAATATTATTTACCTACCGGCCTATAGAAAATAGCGGCTAATGCAAGCAGTATATGTGGCGTAAGTAGGACGGTGGAAGTAACTCCCCTATTAATACAGGCTGGGAGATACTTGCTTGCTATCCCAAGAAGGAAATGATTGATCGGTCCTGATCTATCATTTGTGATCCATGAGGACTGTATCCGTAGATAACAAATAGAACAAAACGCCATGTTCAGCTCATGACAAATTCCCCTCTCAATGGCGTTGCGCTGAGAAACGTCATTCGTCGGGAGTTACCATGCTCCCAGCCGGCCACAACAAGCCGGTTTCAAGCAATGTCAGCGGCTTCGTCTCGTGCCTTTGGCGCCCCGTACTGAGAGCCTGATTTACCTGAGCTAGAATTGATAAATACCGCGCCAACCAATCTCTCATCAGGCCGTGAGCTCCTGTTGTCCCCCTCCAGAGTACGAAACCCAACCTCCTGCGAACTCTGGCCTGACTGTGCCCTGTGCTTCGTTTACACCGCCAGAAATGGAGGCCAACGCCCTGATGGAGCTCGGGCAAGGTTCCAGGCAGGACCTAAATGTCACCGTCCGTCTACAGGTTTGGCATTACAGCGAGCGAGGACGATGCCCTGAGTTCAACGCAGAGCTTGCTCGTCGGTTCTCCCGTGAGGCTCTGGGGCACTGGACTGCTTACCCGGCTGAGGTGGTTGAACCCGATGATATCTCGATTCGAGATGAGTACGTTCCAGTGGAGGTAGGTTCATTTAAACTTTGGCCAAATGCACTGCTTTGAGGATGCTAACTTGGAAGGTCGACTTCGTACACGGCGTCGCCACATACAACGAACCTCAGGGAAATCCCGAGTCTGGGGTTCGCGATGTCTTCAAGAAGGTCGCTCCACCGGTTATATATGATTACTTCGTCTCCGAACTACAAAGCCCACCTCATTCAATGAATATCTACGCAGTTGCCGACGGTGAAGAGATGGCTGAGATGCACATCAAGATGAAGTATGCGCATAGCTTCTTCTTCATTCCGCTGGAGCTTCGGCTTGAGCGGTTTATCAAGCCCGTAATGGTCTGCCAGGAGGACATGATAATGAAGATGTGAGCATGGACTCTATATTAGGCGGGCTAACCACTGACTTGAAGCAGATTGCACGCAGGGGTCAACTCCCTCCCTATTTTAGGGTCGTTGATCTTCGCCTACATGGCTTCTCAGGGCGCAAACATCCCCAAGGGAACAGATCTTCTCGCTACCGCCAGAAATAGCCTGAGCCAGCTCTCGTCCAATCTGCCCTGGTTGGAAGACATGCTTAAGAACGTGAGTGGCTCGTTCATATGCCTAACCATGATACTGATATTTGAACCAGGTGGAGAACGGTGTATCCGAGAACACGCCCACTAGCCGCGGGCCCCTCGTTCTCTTGGGTAATGCATCAGACTCATTTCAGAAACTCCGCGAACTCATCGGCGAGTTAAAACCGAGACTAGAAATAGTATCAAGCGGAAGGAGTAAGTGCCTAAAGTCTCAGCCTTCCTAGACAAGGCTAACATGTCCATCAGGTCTCACGAATCAGGGCATCGTTAGAACGATACTTGACCTGCGCCAGGCTACGATTCATCTCTCCGAGTACGAACAGGCTATGGTGAGCTTCAACAACGAAGAAATCGGCAAGTGGAACGAGAAGGCCAGCCATCATCAGAGACTCTTCTACAGCGCAGGGATCGCTACGGTCGGGTTCGCAGGGATTCCCGCCCTGGCTTTTTGGAACCCAAATCTCGCCGACCTTCTCGCCAATACACTGGCTCAAAGCGTTGAGCTGGATCCTGTTGCTGTCACAGCCCAGACAGTCGGGGTGACAGGTGCTACTAGTTCAGGCCTTGCTACGATTTATCAGTACCGTGAGAAGAGCAAAGCGCGACAGGCGCTTGGTGAGGCTCAAAAAAGAGCTAGTACCGGCCAAGACGCCCTGGTAGACATCTTTGAAGCTCTGCGCAAGACCCAGGCCATCTTGGCCTTGGTTTACATTGTGCAGGTGATGCGGCAGCCCATCGCATGCATGGGAGAGGAAGAACTTACCAGGGCGGTCAAGATGCTAGGGGGCGATTTGCGGTATCTTGATCGCGCAACCTATAACCACAATCTTGTACAGGACAGATTAGATGCATTGTTGCAAGCATGTATCAAACTGGATACGGAGTACCAGAAAACCATGCGTACCATGAATGTTGCGATGGATACAGTGGGAAGGGTGGTTGAGACCACGTAGCAGGACCAGGGTCGGTGTCAGGAGATCAGATGTTGTTGATTACCTTACTTGTAAGGACCTTCGTGAATTTCTTTCAACTAGTAGGATATTTGTAGGTTATATTGGTGGTTTGTGTTGAATAATAGACCTGAGACCTCACTCATATCTACCTACAATGCCATGGCTGGCGCGTGATTCTTGAATGTAGTACTTTAGGTCGTCCTTCACTGATTGAATCTTCCAAATCTTCCAATTGATAACATGGATCGTAAACTGATTTGCACCTAGTTACTTTTAGCTCCTTGCTTGCGTCGTTGGGGTGAAGTCCAAGACTCTAAAGGAGATGATGAATTGCGCATTCTGACGCGGGTCACTTCTCGTCTACGTCGTTTCCCCGGTTTGCTTGGCACAGGTGATCTTCGGATACGGTTCATCAGGCTCTTGGACGCATCCAGGCAAGTGAACAGCTTGTACACCTACTACAATAGGGTTAGGCTACCCGGAATCCACACAATAAGCAATGATTAGGAAGCTTAGCTAGATTGCCGGGGAAGATCGGCGGGGCCTGGATCTAACACTGCATTCCGCAGCTTATTTTTAAATTAGTTATCGAGCGATGTTGCTGTTTGTTGCTTACTCGGGTGGATTTATATAATGACAGACACTTCATTTTTCTGAGGAAATATCAACCTGGCCGACCTAACTTATCGCCAATAGTGCAAAAAAAAAAAAAAATTTAGACAGGCCGATTGCAAACTATAACTATCCCTAGCAGGGGTTGCTATCTGGCATAGAGGTGGAGTGTCTAGAGAGGTTGAAGCAGATTTGCGAGAGATGCAATAAGGAGGTAAACCCGGCCAGAGAATCTTTGACAACGAGATCCAGTATAGACGTGAGTAAAGCAGAGGACTGCCGAAACAGAAGGCTACTATTCAGTATGCTGATGTTGAAGAGGATAGCGAAGAAGACGATGATCGGGAATAAGTAGTATCAACAGGGCTGCTATCCCAAATAAAAAATTCCTCTCGATCCCAAGATGATTATGCCCCTCCCTATATAGCCAATCCAATCTACCTACCCAGTCTCTCTTTGACCATTAACTTAGACTGATAGTGCTCCTATCTACTTGCTTTTGCTTCCTGGTACTCAATTTCTCCTTTGAACTCTCGTCGATTCGCAACCATGTCACAAGGGGATTTCAGCCTTTTTCTAAATATAACGAATAACACGGTGTTATTAGCTCAGCCTGCACGTTAATTGAGTATCTATCAATACATGTAGCCAAAGCGTCCGGTAGTTTGTCAGATGTTTCCCTTATGCACGCAGAAGGCCTGGTATTAATGTCGACGGCGTTACCATGTAAATCCCGATCACACGAAAAATAGAAAATTCAACTGCGAACCGCCTCCGTAAACAATAACTAGGTATAGATAGCCCGAGCTCTAAGCAATCCTTCCACAGAGTGACCGTGAAAACCAAAAGGCAAGCCGCTGTCTCGCGCTTGCTGCCAGTGTTGCCAATGGTCTAATACCCTCTCCTGGTTCTATTACCAAAACCGCCTGGTGCCTTGAGCTTCCCCTTTGCTTGGTGAAGGGCTGGTGCTCTTCCTTTGTTGGGGCCGGCTTTGCCAGGGGGTGCAGCGCGTCGATAGCGAGAGCCTTGGCCCTTTCCGCGACGCCTGGCTGGCCCAAGAGAGCCGCGCTGGGCAGCATTTCTTCCGGGCCTCCTGGGAGCGGAATTACCAGGAAGTACAGCGTGGGGTTGAGAACGGGGTCCATCTCGCCTCTCAAGGGGCTGGTAGGACGGACCGGTAGCGCCACGCAGGGCAAACGCGCCGCTGGCGAGTAGGAGGAGGGTTGTACCGAGGTAGGTGGAGAGCTTCATCTTGAGGCTGAGGGTAGTAGTCGGTTGGTTCTGGGAAGTAAATAGCGGCTGATGACTGTCAGCCTATAGGGCTAGCGATGAGATGGAGGAGTTGGTAAGAAGGAGATGTTGAGATACGAGAATGAAAGGTAATGATGATGGGTGCTAAGACTATGGAATTGTGGTGATTTTGCATGTAATATATACTTGTTTGATTGCTTCACGTTTAAGTATCACCCCGTGGGCTAACTAGAGATAGGGAAGCAGGGAGTTGAGATGGCTTACCAACAATATTCCACTCCCCTCGACAAACAGACGAAAAGACTGCTATTTTTATTCCAGTTGCTGATCAAACTAGCTAGAAGAGGGACCAAGCCGCCCCCAGTGCTAATTTAAGACTTTCCTTTCGACCTGTTTCGCGAAGCACTCTATAATAGGCATCCGGGTTCGCCTAACAGCAATTTGAAATTCTGCTGTTGGTCGTGCTAGCGCAATAACAAGAGGATCATGCTCCTCCAGGGCAGGGGCCAAGGGCCTAGAGCCAATGTGTGATGTTTCGTACACTAATATCGCTTGGTGGCTCCTTGCAAGATGCGTGATAATGCACCAGCAGTTGAGCCAACAGCAGCACAACCTTGATTCCCAATCAAGGGAACACCAAATGGAGGCTGGGGCTGCATTCAGCTCTCTCCACTTGGCTACCAACCAACATGCAAGCTCCAGATATAGAACCATCGAACCACATTTTCATAGGTACCTTAGGTTATGTAGGCTACCAACAAACATGCTGACTGCAGATTTAGAGCCATCGATCCACATTTGCATAGCCCCTGCAACGCTCTGTTGGTCAGACAGCTGGACCTGCAGATAGAGGATGTCGTATGAGACAACTGCGGTCCTGCTCTCCCACCGCGCAATATTTGTTGCCACAGAGTGATGTGCGCGGTAAAAGACTCGAGTGCCCACAATGTTGTGCAATTTAGGTCACCCTCGCCCGTCTCCCAGAAGCCCCCCAGCATAAGCAGACCTTCTCGTCATTCTTCATTCCATCACCATCGACGCAGCCAACATGATTTGCAACGCATGCTCAAAGACAATTCAAAGCATCTGGGACCCCTCTAGCCCGAGAAGGCTGCGCCCTGGGTGGGATGTGACCCCCGAAGACAAGAGTCTGCCCCCTGATCATCCAGAGAACTACGTCTTTGGGCACCATGCCACATCTGAGTCTCTATCGCGGGCTATTTCCGACGGGTGCACCATTTGCCAGCATATAGAGCCGGCTGTTTGCTTGGAGGAGCCCGAATTCACTCAAGGTGGATACTTTCGTCTCCCCAAATACGACCAGCCTGGATATTTTTCTGTCCTCGGTGTTCGAGTCGAATTGTGCATGTTACATGGGCTTACAGAGCATCAGGGCTCCCTTGGCGAGTTTCTATGTAACAGACATCCCTCTGCCCTATTCATCCTTCTGTCTTATTTCTCCTGACGACGCTAGACTGCAGGTCCAGTGGATAGCCCGAAGCTCATGCTCAGCGGATCGACAGGTGATGCCTCCGCCCTACTCTTGGTCAGGCGCTGGCTGGACACTTGTTTGCAGACGCACAAAAGCTGCAACAAGAGCGTCGGGGAGCAGCCTTTTGTTCCGCCCCGGCTTGTCCAGCTGGATGACGCTACTGAGTCCTTCCGGGTGGTGCCTGCTGCCGAGTTGGCTCCGGGCACTCGCTATGCCACGCTCACTCACTGCTATCACCCGGATGACGAGGGAATCAGGCTTCTCGAGTCAACAGTGGGACACTTCTCATCACGACAGCCCCTGTCTGCTCTGCCTCAGTCTTACCGGGACGCTTGCGCGGTGGTTGTCCAACTCGGCATCTCGCACATCTAGATCGAGCGCCTGTGCGTTGTCCAGGACAACCAAGCTGATCAGCAAGCACATCAGGATAAGGTACTGAGGCGGGATATCTTATCCAACGGTTTCTGCGGCATCGGTGACGCAGGATCAACCTCCTCATCGTCCGGCCTTTTTACCAAATTCGATCGAGGTCCTCTGGCACCCGACGTCTTCCTCTTCCAGCCCAGGGCAGATGCCCCCCCATCCCCCCATGTGTTGCTCAGTGACATCACCAAAGACAAACTGCGAGCTTTTCGGTACGAGCCGATTTCGAAGAGCGTGCAAGCGTTGCGCGACCGCCTCTTGGTGCCCCGGATGGTGTACTTTGGCGGTCAGATGCTGTTCTGGGAGTGTCACGCTGCTCACCACGACGAACTTGGCCCTATACCACATCTTAGCCCCCATATCTTTGGGAGGGAGGGTGAACTAGCATTCAATGGCAGCATGCCAGTCGTCAATCTGTGGAAGCCGCTCCTTGAGTATTCCACACATCCCCTCAAGGATCCCGTCGACCAGATACTGAACCGCTGGGCCGCGTTCGTGTCGCAGTTTTCGAGGCTGCGCCCTAGTCCGTCAGAGAGATTGCCCCTGCTTGAGAGCCTGGCTATGGAGGTGATGCAGCTTCTGGCCGAGCACGGCTGTGAGGACACCACGTACCTTGCGGGGATGTGGAGGATGTCGTTCCCCTCGGCACTCCTGTGGCTGACTCAGGAGCCTGCGCAAGAACCACCAACTGCTTCCTCTACACCCTCCTGGAGTTGGGCCTCTGTGGATGGCGAGGTGCTTCTTGAGCGACCCAAAGACACCTGGAGAACGGGTCTTCTATGCGAGCTGGTTGACGGCGCCGGCACTTTGGGTGATGACTCTAGAACAATCGCCTCGGCCAGCATCACCCTCAGAGGAAAGCTCCTCCGCGGGAGACTGGCGTTCCTGCCCGACACAGCTAAAGCGGACGGATGGATGTGGATTCTGAGCCTCGGCGATGCGCAGTGTGACACCGCCTTCCGCCTGGAAAATGGCCCAGTCCAGTTTCCCATCCACGATGATTGCACTGCCAGGTTTGATGTGCAGCGAGACATGAAAGAGGAGGCCTTGCTTCTGCCGGTGAAGGCCGAAACGGAAGATTACGGGTCGTTCGAGCAGCACATGTTGCTTGGTATTCTCATCTCCCGGCTTGGCGATGGCAGGTATGTCCGCCAAGGTATCTGGAGAGTGAAGACAAAGACTATAGATGAGGCGCTACATGCATTTGATGACGTGCCACTTTCTCAACTCGAGATTGTCTAGTCCAATAACGAGGCTATTTTCAGCAGGGTCCTGCTCCTTTCTGACCCAAGACTCAAGCTGGGTCGTCTGTTCTACATTATTGCCACTCGCATAGACAGGTCCCTTGTCGGAAAGCCATCGTTCACATGTAAATGGGGATGAGGAGATGGGAACCATCCGCGGTATTTCTTTAAATGTCGAGTCCATTAGGGTCACAGGCATTAGATTGACAATATATTGAAGATGCCGAATAACAGTATCCATGATCGTCAGAATCCCACGTCGCCAGAACAGACTCTGATATGCTAGTCCAAAATCGTAAATCCAAGCTACAAATTCTAGGGAATCTTTTGGTAATAGAGGGACAGCCTTGTGGAAATATCGCTAAGCGCCACCAGGGCTCTGATGACGAAGAATCCAATGGTACTGTATTCTTGAGTGAGCCGACTTGGAAGGGCAAAGGCATGGAGCGAAGCAACGGCGGTGAGTGGGAGTGGAGGTCATCGCAACCTTGTGTTGGCTGGCACGCTGTTGGCTAGTTGAATGCTTCCTTCACTGAAACGCACCTACATGCATTCATTGCATGAATTTGGGGGCGATATTAATAACAGCCAGGGGGGACACCAATTTTCCACCATCACGCCACACTGTTGGCGAAGAGTGTTCAGGTTCCCCAGCTCTTTGCCCTGTCCGTCAAATCCCCATACGGCGACTCAGGATAACGCCCGTCTAACACCACCAACGTGCGGAAACTGTCGCTGCTGTGTATGGCATCATCATCATCTCTTCCACGAAAAATCGTGATACCTCAACTACTTTGGGCTATGAATTTCCCCTCTCCGTCCCGAGCCGTGGACTTGCTCTGGAACAAACTCCGGTTCCGTGGCTTCTCTGGCAATTGGAGCCCAGTATTTCATGAGAATCGAAAGAAATGGCTGGCCAACGTCACCCGGGGTGAGTATCGCTCTCTTTCTACTTTCTTGCCCACCAAATCTTGACCACTATCCACCACACTGGAACTAATCACTGTATAGAGTCAATACTTGTAGAATACACGGAATTTGTACTTCATGGGAAACCCGGGATAGGAGGTGTGTTCAAAAAGGGAGAACGGCGGGCGTTGGAAAAGATATTTGCTGTTTACGCCAACCCAGATAACCGTACGCACATCCCATCCCTACTCGCGACTAACTCACTTGGCTAACAATTTACACACAGGCTGGGACCGGCAATCACTTGAGTCTTTCTTGATAACACGAGTTCCCCAGGATAGGAATCACATAGACCTCTTCAGGAATTGCGCAGACTCCTGTTGGACACTTACCACCCACTTTGCACAATGGCCCTTCAACACAACATCAACATCCCCACTAACCAGTCTCACATTTTCATCCTTTGCCCGTGCCATGGCTTTCCTTAGTGGAGGGCACTGCCATATGGTTTGGCCTACCACCATCACACCTGGTGAACCCGAGCGGTCTGATCTAATTGCACTCGAGTACATATTTCGAGCCTTGGCTACAACCAAAGTAGTGGACGAGCGTTCTGACCTTGTACCTGAAGAAGAAGCTACTGGATTATCACGCCAGCACCGTGACATATTTGACGTCCTATATTCAGTTCAGCCAGTGATGAACTTTCTTACCTGGCAGATGGAACCTAATGAATTGATCCCGACAGCCATGGTGTTATCTCCTCCCCCTCACCCAGAGCTGTCTGCCCTCATCATCCCGGCCGGAACGCTCATCTCGCTCCTTGACCTCCTCATTCCAGTCCTCGATCGGGCTCGCGAAGACCCTACAATGACTCACTATCAGGTTTTGATAGACAAGCTAAAGGCAGCTTATGTTAAGCTGCAGAGCGTGGAGGGTGTGTCGTTTGACGACTTTACAGGTTGGATGGGTACCCATTATGAGCTCAATTTCTACACTGGTATTTCTGTGCTTTTTCGTATCTTCCTATAAGGAATGGGTTGGCCACCTATCCTGAGATTCAGATCACTAGCAATGCCACCCTGGAATTCCAGTATGGCCAAGTTCAAGTGGATGCCAGATCTCCAGATTGACGCTTGATGAAAGCGATGCCTTGATTAGATCCTTTGACCCCCCAGCTACAAAAGATACCAGGGTAGTTAAAACAGCTACATACATGGACAGCCAGTCTTGGATACGCCGCATATTGATTCCAATTAGTATCAGTTGTCCATTTGTGGTGGAGCTGGCGGGCAGGGGCCATTCTGGTAGCTGCCTGTAGCCTGCGATATGCAGAAGCGCACTGGGAGAACCAACATACATTAAACAGCGACCAGCCCAATTAAATCCCTTCCGGCCGTTCTCTTAGCCATTTTTAAATCGCGCAATTCATTTTGCCTAATACTCCAGCGGGGGTTTCACTCCCAGCTCAATGATCCCGCCGTTGCCTCCGTCCTGGGTTCCTTGGAGGCCTCGCCCACAGTCCCTCAGACACTGAGGTTCAAGTGCTGTGCCTACCAAGTGTACGCGAAGCAACTCGCTCGCAATGCTATGCAATATCTGCCGCGAGGGTCTCCAGGGCATTTGGGACCCCTCCAAGGCTAGGCGAGTATGCAGGGAAATCGAGTTCGATGAAAAACTCAAGGAAGATGAGCGCTTTCATCAGGCGCCTCCGTCGCACGTGGATGATCAGCACCCAACACACTTTTTGTTCGGCCACCATCCAACTTTAGAGTCCTATCTACAGTCTGTTGCCGATGGATGTGTTATGTGTTGCCAGTCCAGACATAATGGTATGGAGATCGATCAAGAGGCCGCGATGGCTGAGCTAGGGTTTTATTCCTTGTTCGCTGTTGGCCTCCTAAGTGCATACCCGGTCATGAGTATATATACACCCAATACTCGTTTCAACCAGCCGCTGAAAATGTTCGACGGTATGTTGTATCTGACATCTTATTCACATCAAGGTGCTAACAGGTTTTCAGGCTCCCCCCATGACTGCAACCTCGGTATTAGCCCATCAACCGGAGATGCCAAGGCCTGGAGCTTGGTTCAGAGCTGGATGGATACATGTGTCCAGACCCATGGGCGCTGCAACCAAGCCACTGATTTTATTCCAAGCTATCTACTCGAATTGGATGACCTTGGCGGATCATTCTGTTTGATCCCAGCTGACCAGCTTTCTACCCAGTCTGGTGGTGTCCGCTACTGCACACTCACCCACTGCTATGATGCTGATGACAGCCTCCAGCTGACAACTTCAACCCTGGGGCACTTCTCCCGCCCATAGCCTCTCTCCACATTGCCCTTGGCCTATAGGGATGCCTTTGCTGTGGTTAAACGGTTGGGTCTCCGTCATCTTTGGATCGACCATCTTTGCATTCTTCAAGACGAACCACCACTTAGCAACAACAAGATACAGGATATCTTGTCTAATAGCTTCTGTGGAATTGGCGCTACAGGATCCACTCTACCTTCTTCTGGGCTGTTTACCAAAAGAGAGCCGCATCTTATTACACCCACTGCGTTTGAATTTCCTCTTGACGCCAAGGGAAATACAACCTTGTTGAAGTTCCACAGGCCAGAGATGGTGCATTTCAAGGATGAGCCATTGATCCAAACTGCAAAAGGTTTCCGGGAACGTCTTCTAACACCACGGATGATCCATTTTGGGACCTCACTTATCTCCTGGGAATGTCATGGTGCTCTTTGCAATGAGATAAACCCTGGCGGTATCCTGCACGGGCCCGGAGGGTACACTAATATAGAAGGGGAGAAGCCGATTGTGATCAGTGAGAAGTATGTGGTTGGCAAACCGATCCGGGCACCACCTCGACCCGCTTGGAAGCCGCTTATTCACACTCGTCCCTTTTCTTATCCTCTTGGTAACCCCAAGAAAGACATACTGAGTCGTTGGTTCCAGCTTTTGCCTGAATATACAAAATGCACCCTGGCAGATCCGGAGGAGAGGCTCGTTTGCCTGGAGAGTGCTGCTATGGGGATGAAACCTCACCTGAAGGAGCAGGGTTGCGATGACACATATCTTGCCGGCATGTGGAAAGAGACTTTGCCTACAGCCTTAGTCTGTTATGCCTGTGGTAGTGCAAATCGGCGGCCCCGGTATCGTGCCCCTTCGTGGAGCTGGGCCGCAATAGACGGTCCCATCAACTACGAAGAGGGTCTGAGCGGGTCATTCACCACTCAGAGCCTCTGTGAGCTTGTGGACGTGACCTCTAGGACAAATGAGGCAGGGCTAGTCATCGCCAGCAACCTTACTCTCAAAGGAAAACTTCTCATCGGAAAGTCATCTCCCAACCCCAACTACCCCGATGAGCCATACTATGAGACAGAAATGGGCATTGACGGGTTGCTAGACCCTGGCACAGGCGCTGATGTTGCCAGGGTGCCGGACTCTCATGACAGGCTCCAATGGTCTATCCGCTTTGATACTAAGCAGGATGTAAAGGAGGATATTCACCTTTTCCCAATTATTACAGCGTTGATTCGAGAGAAGTGGCCCCAAGTCTATGGGATTGCTCTAACCAAGCTTGATAGTGGGGCCTATCTTCGTTGTGGTATGTGGAGCATCTGTCCATCTTCTTGGGAGGAATCAAGAGGATTATTCTGCGGCCTGCCAGACTCCAAGATTACAATCGAGTAGTCGAATCAGAGAGTTGGAGCTTTGAAAGGAACTGAATCATGCAGTCACTCACACACTGTCTTGGTCTAAAGTTGGTACATTTTAGGTTAATCGCAGCCCTCTTACACTTACAGTATCTTGAGATGTGAATTGCAGAGGATTCTCTATAGTGAATGTCTCTGTCCCCATTAATAAATGTTGTATTCCTATTTTTGAAGGGGAAGTGGTAGACGTGTAATTTACCTTCAATGATGATGGAAGTGGCTGTTACTTTCCTGGGTGAAGAGTCAATTCCTGGCCAGTGGCTCCTCTCATGGCGGCCGTCCAATTGGCGCTTTTGCATTGTTTTTTTAATGCGATAGGACCCATTTCGTCAGATATACCCTGAGAAATTTGATATCGCTTCTCGTCAACCAAGTTCTGCTCCATGCCGTAGGGTAGTTGCCAAGAAAGGGTCAATTGACGTCATCGGCTCCTTATTCACCGGGGTCTTGGTTCAATGCCGATCCACTAAGATTCCGTGCCGTTGATTGGCTCGACTGACAACCCTGGCTGTCGGATCCATGCTTCTGATGTCACCTCCAGCATCACCCAAGGGAGGGTTCAAGAAAATAATTGGCATCCTTACGTAGGGATGGTATGATGCAATCAAGATGCTTGCGCTCCATGCGACATAAATACAGACTTGGTTGTCTTGCTGTTCCTTACATAGACCTACTAGCACTCGTTGTTTCCGCGCAGCTACCTTCAAGTTACCTATAACGGTAGAAACACACACGCATTTACACACAATATATAACACACACACACAATGGGTCTGGGAACCAAGATCAGAGGAGCCCTGAGTGGCGACAAGGGCCATCGTCACAGCACCTCACAGCCGGCCCGAAAGCCACCTGGTGCTTACCCAGATTCCGTTGCCGATATACCTCGCAGTGCCACTGTTAACAACGGCACTAGAACCAGGACTTGGGAGACTACTACTGACACGGCCTCCACACAACGCCCGTCTTCGGTCAAGGACCTTTATCGAACCACTGAAGGCGATGAGGCCGGCGAGTACACACATTCCCCTGTCAACCCAGACTCAGCAGCCCACCAGAACAACCTGGATGGGATAGCAGCAGCTGGCCAGATTGAAGATGAAGAGTTGGCCATCCCCAGTCCAGACTCAAGGACCGCCCCTGATAGCTACAACAAGAACGCACCGTTCTCAACTGGCAGCACCAACCCGCAAAAGTACCCCTACTGGGGCGACGTCGGTAAGACCAATACGCAGCGAGATGATGTGGGCACCAACGGACATCACCTCGAGCGTAATGGAATCGCTAGCAACGGCGATTACTCTGCTCGCCGCGGCCAAGCCGGTGCCCACGGATACGATGATGATGACACTTTCGAAACTCCAATTATCGCAACTGTCAATCGCGGCCAGCCACACATGACCGATGATGAGAAACGAGCTATTAGCATGGCCGCTACTGAGCTGAACCAGCCAAGTGAATATGGAGACTATGCTCCCACTGAATTGCCATATCGCAGCGCTGGCCACACGGATGGTCACGCTAGCCACGGCATGGATTATCCTGCTGGCTCTACTGCCAATCATTACGACGACAGCTATGGGGTGAAGCAAACTCCCACTGTCAATGGCGGAGGGCCCTCACCAACTAACGCCCGCGGTACCTTTGGTTCTCCTACTATGGAATACAACAGTAATGTGAATGGAGCTGCTTTCCCAACTGCCAACCCCAAGTTTGCGCAGGAGCACATCAAGGAGCGAGAGCAGAGCAGTTCCGTGGGAGGTAGCTCCGACGGCATCGGCGCCGCCCCGGCTCCGAAGCCAGCCGGAGCAGATCACTACGGCCCGGGACACTCCGGCGCCAAGGTCCTGCATCGTTGCGAGCACTGCGGCAACGACAACGACATCACCAGGTACTTTAGCAAGGACGTTGTCTATCGACTGTCCTAGTGTGCAGACTATATCCTCTCCTTTACGGATTCCATCTTTTGTATCATTTCATAGCGTGTTTATCTTCTGAGCCTATGCTACCTACCTTTATATAATCGATTCTAGTGGATGGCTGGGCACTGGCCAGCCAATAAAGGTGTCGGCACCCCAGCCAAGTGGAAAAATGTAAATACATCTCTACAATCCAATTTACTTTACTCTAAAATCCGAACTCTTTTGTAGCTACTTTTTTGTGAAACTTGTCCTTCCATTGTGTTTTAAAAGCTTAAAAGCATTTCTGTTAATATCATCTCCTCGGATCCCTTCCTCTCTTCGCGTTATGCTGCCCTACTTGTTCTTCTCGTTGACGGTATTATTCTAGAATGACCCTGCCTTGTGTACGAGGAATTAGAACTACCTAAACCCTTTGCTCTTTAATGCTGAGATAATATTAGCATCGAGCTTATCCTCGGGTATACGCTTAAGGATATCTTGACTAAAGTTATATAAAGCTAAGGCCTACCCTATAGATAGGCTGCCCGCCCATGGTCCATCATCTTCGCTTTATGGAAGGCTTAACAGATCGTGGCTGGGGGTTGCTTAATGCGGCATTCCAGCAGCTCAAGATATTGTATTTGCCCAAAATTTCTTTATCCTATCACTACGGGTTGCTGTTTCTCTCAGAAGAACATAATGGTCTCGCATCAAAAGAATCAAATTTTCCAATTTCCCCATAGCCCAGACTCATATAGAAGGTCTTTTTCAAGGTCTAGGAACAAGCATTAACAAATGTACATTAAACAATGTTCATCTGGGTAGCGGGAGCTGGATACGTGCCATAGACATCCTGCGAGAAAGGGTCAAGCAGACACTTGGGCCTGGATCTCTTAATGAGTGCTCCTTTCACTTGAAAGCTTTATCTGGTAGGGAGATGGGCCGTCTCGAAACGGAAGCTGTAGGCCCAATGATAGAGGCATTGGAATATTATATTCTAGAAAAGAGGCCTTCTGACAATCCCTTGTTAAATTATGCTCTCTCTTAGTTAGCAGGCTTTGAAGGCACTGCACGCGTTGTGAATCTGAATCAATATTCCTGAAACGCGGTTCCGCTAGAAAGGTATATTGACGAGACCGTCCATTCCAAGACATTACGGCGATTGGCTACACTTATTTTCCGGAGTACAAACATGTCTACTTGGTGTTAGTTTAATATGATCTGGCACGTCGTGACAAGCTTGTCTCAGGGACGTCTTGGCTACATGGAAACCCCTTCACGGGTCTTTAGCGAAACCAACTTGAGCAGCTGCAGGCACAACAGTTGGTCTTCTGTAAGCTTTCTCGGACTCATTCTTCGAGTTCCCCAAGCCTGATGAGACAAGGCATCAGATTGATGATGAATGAGGGGCTGTGTTGTCACCGGGGCTGCCCACAGTATACATCCTCGGGCGTCACCCCTTGTCCTCGTTTGTCTGAATCCTGAGGGCGTAGTCGTGCAAATAAAAATGACGATCCTTGATGACATAGACTAGCGTTGTAAGCACGATGGTTGTTTGGTAGTGCCTACTACCACAAGAGAGGCGAGGTTATTTGCTTTGAAAGGGAAAAGTAGAAGAAGACCAAGCAGACCTATTCATATAAAAATGAAACAAATCCCTGGACATTAAGTTGGAAATCATATTGCTATAATATGAGATTTAATCCCAAGTCTCTTGATTCTGGTTATGACTTGAAATGCCAACTCCTCCCGTAATTTGTCAATACGACGTATGGCTCTCGAATAGCCCTTTTGAGGAGCCAACACGACCCTACTTATAGAACATGGCGCATGATGACGGCGCATGCTGACGGCGCGTGGCAACGGCGCGTGATGATTACTTACAGCCTACAGGCTAATCTGCCACTTCATCGCACCAAGTTCTCATCACTGATCGTCTGCCACGCTGTACAGCACCCATGCGATGCTACATACTCTCTCTCCACAGCCACACCTTCCAAATGCAGTACCTTCTTCTAGACTAGTAAGCCCAGGACTTGCGATGTCACGACTCGGGCTTGGTAAATCAACTTCCGCAATGGGCACATTACAGCCCAACATGAGGTTTCTATGGCACTTTGTTTTTTCTCTTCCACTATTCCACTAAGGATCTTTGGGAACTGGAGTGTGCCGCAGGCCGCTCCCTGATACTACATCATAGGTCTCTAGTCTACTATATCTACTACAAGATGCCCTGTATAAAGAACAAGTTCTGTCAGCCTCCTGCTCTCTCCTATCCAGATCGCCATCAGTATTTCATTTTGACTTATAGGACATATCTGTATATATACTCCTGATGATGTACACTTATTTCATGACGGCCACCATTGTCGCTGGCGCTACCCTAGTCGGGGCTGATGCCTCTTCCTATAACCAGAACGCTGGGTGCAACAAGTATTTCTCACATCACAACTAGACTAATAGACTTGTCCATCCTAACATTCATATCTCCTCGTAGGGATCAGTTGCTCCGGTGGTTCAACTCTAACACGGGTCTCTTCTATGATAATAGCAACAACCCGTACTGGTGGCAGGGAGGGAATATGCTTACCACCCTCGCTCTTTTCGGCAAGCTCGACTCTGGTGTCGCCAGTCAGGTTACTCCTGTTATCAACCAGATCTACACCAATGCCCCGAAGAACAAGCCTTTTGCTTTTGCTAGTACCAAAAAATCTAGCGATATGTCAGCTTACGAAAAGGTCTACATTCCCAGCAACAAGCTTGCTGGCCGCTCTCCCCTTCTCCGTCGCCAGGGAGATGTTGGTTTCGAGAACTCATTTTATGACGATGAGGCTTGGTGGGCTCTTGGCTTCATCGCCTCTTGGGAGCTTACTGGCAAGATTGAATACCTCAATGAGGCCATCTACATCTGGGACGACATGACCGCTGCCGTCGGCACGACCCCTTGCGGTGGCATCTGGTGGGATAAGGCCCATACCTATGTCAACGCTATTGCCAACGGTAAATTTTATCAAATTCTTTCCGCATCTCTCAGATGCCATCTAACAAATTTCATAGAGTTATATCTTCACCTCTCCGCTGCCATTGCCAATAACGTTGGCAGTGATGTCAAGCAGAAATACGTCAATGCCGCTATCAACCAATGGAACTGGTTCAAGGGCACCGGCATGATCAACTCTCAGAATCTCATCAACGACGGCCTTGACTCCAATTGTAGGAACAACGGCCACCCCACCTATACCTACAACCAAGGCGTTATCCTGAGCGGCCTCGCCAAGCTTTACAAGGCGACGGGCGATAGCTCCTATCTTGACCAAGCGTCCCTCATCGCCAATGCTGCCATAAGTACCCTCGTCGACTCCAACGGCATCCTTGTCGACGACTGCGACAAGAACAAGAACTGCTCTGGTGATGGTGAACAGTTCAAGGGTGTCTTCACCCGTGGTCTTCGTGATCTCTATAATCAGCGCCCCACCGCCTCTTGGAAGACGTTTATTGACAGAAATGCCCAATCCATTTGGAACAATGATCTGGCCATCCAAAACGGCGGATGCTTTAACGGCGCTTATTGGGGTGGTCCTTACGCCACCGCCGATGCGAGCACTCAGTCTTGTGCTTTGGATACGATTGTTGCTGCTCTTGCCATCAACTAACATACAAACATGGACCATTTATAAAGTTGGTAGTAGTAAATAAATAAATAAACAAAGCTCTTATTCTAACATGTCATCATATGGTGGTACATTTTTTTTTTGCTGTACATTAGTGGCCAGAGTTGTATATATTGCCTCCTCCCTATCTATACTAAGCTGAAGACATAGGGAACCTACAAATAGGTATGAAGAAGTTGGAAACACCTTTCCCATTGCATTGTATTATAGAGCATACGGAGTATAGTGATTGGTGACAGGAGTTCTCGCATCTGAACTCGAAACTAGACAGGCGCGGATGATAATTCCGGTCGGCAATCTCTATTTCTCTGGAGGTCCGACTGCCCGTCTCATCTTGTGCGAGTACGGAAAAGTCTCCGGGGAGCAGCAAAGTCAAGAAGGTCTTAGGAGCAGCAATTAGCAGCTTAATTTAGACAGTATAAACAGACTATGGTCACAGTGACATCTCAAGCTGAACAAATCGGCTGTACTGCCCATGTTTGGTTAAGTAGGTGCACGTTGGGCTTAGATAATTCTATCTCGAAAATGAAAGCCGCCTAGGAGATATTTGACGGAAGATACGGTATTGTATTATATACATACCTGAGAATGGCTTCAACGAATTGATTTTATCCTTAAACGCCGCCGGGTTTCATTTGCTGGTGGGGGCTGGTAGCTAATTACATTACAGCAACTTATATGCGGCAATGTCAACTTAGAAATTGCGCTTACAAAGCCTAAGCATAAAGGCGGCGGTGTTCAACCCTGTATGACATCTGGATTGACTTTGTCTTTAATGTGGAGGTCAGCCTTATTATCTGCTTCGTCTTCCCCCCTCCCCCCGGTTTCTTGGGTCCACGCTCTTTTAGCCCAATGCGCAATGGGGCCGACGCCTTATAGTAGTGACCTCTTAATCACCCTGTGATATATTTCAAAAGAGGTAACACAAGTATTTTATTTGGGCACCGCGGGCGATTTCGGCTTCTGTAGGCAGCCAAGTTGCCAGGACAAGGCTGAATCTTCGCCGAGCCTCTTGGTTCAATAACGGCACAAATCCCCAGCGCGTACTGTCTTTATTCAGCGAGGGTGGGTTCACCTCGCTCCAGCCCAAGGCGTCGATGAGAGTTGTCCATTGAGGAGTACTTTAGCTGGCGTCATTTCTGAGAGAAGCTCGAGTTGCGGTTAGATTCGCCATTTGATATATGCACTCAGTAATTGGCTACAAGTCCCCTAAAAGTGGACCAATGTGGCTTAGTAAGCCATCGACCTGTAAAATTTTCCCCAGACATTTGCCTCGGGAGTCGATTTCTGTGCGACATCGGACACATGAGTAAAGGATCAATCAAGGGAAAGGTTACGTAGAGATTTCCTTGTGGGAAGCTGCCGTGACGTGCTGCGACATAACCAGCCCCTTTTCCAAGGCCCGAGGGTGCATCGTAATTATTGCGAGCAGTCCAATCCCCCCCCGTTCCCATCATGTTGGCGTCTCAATATTCAAAGAGGCTGCTGACCAGTAGCGTGGCTATTGCATGTGCCCTCTCTCCTCTCAATTCGCCTGGACCAGCACTGACATCTTGGCCAGGCCACAGTACGGCAACACTCGTTTCGGGCAGCAGGGCTCACGCGTCGGATGCCTGCTCTCCCCTCAGGAGCCCGGTCCATCTCCAAGTCGCGGAACTCGCACGCTGAACTTCAGGGGTTTCACTCCCAGCTCAATGATCCCGCCGTTGCCTCCGTCCTGGGTTCCTTGGAGGCCTCGTCCACGGTCCCTCAGACACTGACGGAGAAAATCGTCCAAAAGCACTCGGTCGATCTTCCAGATGGCAAGTTTGTCAAGTCTGGAGACTATGTCACCATACGGTAAACTATACATATTGCATGCCAGACCAAGCGTCCACGTTACAGTTGCATTTGCTTACGGATAGCTCAAGGCCACACAAGTGCATGACCCATGATAAGTTAGTTCTACGTCCTTGTCAATATGAATGAACGCAGCACTAATTACATCCAGCACCTGGCCTGTGGCGACCAAATTCCTCTCCATCGGCGCCACGCGGATCAAGGACCCAAGCCAAATTGTCATGACGTTAGACCACGACATCTCCAACAAATCAGAAACCAACCTCCGGTCAGTTATGGAGAAGATTCGGACGAAGATGCAAACTAACTTGATGAATTAGAAAGTATAAAAACATTGAAGAGTTTGCAAAGAACCAGGGCGTCGATTTCCACCCTGCAGGCAAGGGCATTGGACACCAGGTAAGGGCGTTGTCTTTCGTGACTGAAATCCAATACCTAATTTCCGATAGATCATGATCGAGGAAGGCTACGCTTGGCCAGGTACACTTGTTGTCGCCTCCGACTCCCATTCAAATGTAAGACTATCATAGGATGTACCGATTTTTTATGCTGAGCTGATGAATATGCCCGATATAGGTATACGGGGCCCTGGGCGTTCTTGGGTGAGCCACTCCACATGATCAAGCCATGACCCTCACCTCAAACAATTGAATACTAACACCCTCAACGAACCCCCGTGGTCCGGACTGATGGCTGCGCCATCTGGTCGTCTACGCAGACATGGTGGTGTATTCCTCCAGTGGCCAAAGTCCATTTTCAGGGTCGCCTCCAACCGGGAGTCCAAGGCAAGGATGTAATCGTGGCGCTGTGCGGATTGTTCAACAACGACGAAGTCTTGAACCATGCCATTGAGTTCACAGGCTCAGAGGAGACGATGAGAAGCCTTTCCGTCGACGACCGCTTGACAATCTGTACGTTGGTGCCGCGCATGTACGCATTGGTGAGGACATGAATCATTGACACGGTGTTTAGCCAACATGACTACGGAATGGGGTGCGCTTTCAGGGATATTCCCGATAGACGGCATGTTAGAGAGTTGGCTCCGAGCCAAGGCGACAGAGTACGCAATGTACGAGTCCGATGCGGATCGACGGAGTCCGGCATCTCGGATCAATCACCAGCGAATCGACGAACTCTTTGAGAACCCTCTGAACGCCGACAAGGATGCAAAGTACGCGAAGCACTTGACGCTCAACCTCGACACGGTCCCAAGCTACGTGGCCGGTCCAGATTCGGTCAAGGTAGCCACGCCGTTGGCCGAGTTGCAGGCACAAGATATTGCCATCCAGCGCGCCTACCTTGTCTCTTGCACCAACTCCCGAAGCTCGGATCTCCAGGCCGCGGCGAACGTCATCAGAGAGAAAACTGCAGCCAACGGAGGAGTCACCCCGAGAATTCCAGACAGTGTAGAGTTCTACATGGCAGCAGCGTCGCTACGAGAGCAGCGGGCGGCTGAGGAGCAAGGAGACTGGCAGGTTCTGCTTGACGCGGGTGCGCGACCTCTCCCTTCTGGCTGCGGTCCTTGTATTGGCCTGGGACCTGGATTGCTCGAGCCTGGGATGACTGGCATTTCCGCATCGAATCGTAATTTCAAGGTTCGTTGACACAACTTCAGACAATTGACATAGCCCCATGCTAACAGCCAGGGCCAGGGGCGCATGGGATCTCGTGACGCAAAGGCTTACCTGGCCAGCCCCGCCGTCGTGACCTCCTCGGCTCTCGCCGGCTTCATCACTGGTCCAGGTGTGGGCTCACAGCCCGCGGACTGGGCCGGCGTCGAACACTCAGAAGGCGAGCCCTTCGCAGAGAAGAGCGTGGACGAAACGCTCGAGTCGTTGATCGGCAAGCTGGATGGCATCATTGAGGCCGGGTCTGCCGATCGGGCGGAAGGAGCAGATTCGGGTAAAAAGGAGCAACTGACAGATATCCTGCCCGGCTTCCCCGAGAAAATCTCCGGCCAGATCACCTTCTGCGGCGCTGACAATATTTCGTAAGAACTCGCTGCGACCTTCTTGATGCCTCTCAGCTAACTCGCTGCCCCCTAGGACAGATGGTGTGTATCCAGGGAAGTATACAGTAAGAATCCTCTGAATAGCTTGTGATGCCAGTGGCTAACCAAACAGTATCGCGATGACGTGTCTCCAGAGGAAATGGCGGAGGTTTGTATGAGCAATTACGACACCGCCTTCAACACCATCGCAAAGTCCGGAGATATCCTCGTCGCAGGCTACAGCTTTGGCACAGGTGTGTTCGCTTTCGGAAGTCATGTGCTCATATTAATTAATCCCTACTAGGCTCATCGCGCGAGCAGGCTGCCACGTCGATCCTGGCCAAGGGGATCAACCTGGTAGTCGGCGGCTCCTTCAGCGCAACCTACGCGCGGAACAGCATCAACAACGCCCTCATGCTTCTCGAGGTGCCGAAGCTCGTTACACGGCTCCGAGAGGCGTTTGGCGAGCCGGCAGATCCAAAGGAGCAGGTTCTCACGAGACGGACTGGGTGGACGCTGGAGTATGATGTCCGCCGAAGCAGGGTCAACATCACGGAGGCGGACGGGACGACCTGGAGCGAGCCTGTTGGAGAGCTCCCGCCAAACGTGCAGGAGATCATTGCTGTCGGCGGGTTGGAGAAGTGGGTGAAGAGCAAAATTGAGGCTTAGACATCTGGAGGGAGATTCTGGACAGCTACGGAGTGTGCCGTGTGGCAAAGACAAGGAAATAGATGGTCAGGGTAACCTTGATGCAAGTTGATGCAAGTAGTTAACACACACATGTATATATTTCTATACGTCTCTACGAACACTTTATTCACTGAGATAATAGTATGAAATGAACCAGTTGTGCTTGATGCTGTATTAGGGAAGTCCCGATGAGGTCACACGTGGCCGACATAACAACAAATTTTTCTACATGGGCCAAGCCATGCCTTCAAGCTCCAAATACGTAGTTCCGAGTGCGAGTGTAAAAATTAGAGGTTAGATTTATCCACCTGGCTAGCTTATGCCTCCGTGGGCTAGATAGAGGGTCGAGCGATCACGTTGATCCGATCCATAAGATCGCGAAAACCCTGAGAGTCCGGACCAACAAAATTATGAGCCCACAGTCTCCTTGTTGTCCTTCTTATAAGGAGGAATCTTTCATTAAACAATTGTAATTTCAGCACTACTTGTATCCTGGCGGATAACTGCTAGTCCACTCTTCTGATCAACCTGGAGACCGAGCCATGAGATGTCATCTGGGTGGCTTACCACACAGTGACCAACTCGACGATACACAACAGGCTCCGAGCAGAGCACAGGCTCTAGTAAGAGACAAGATACCTCAGTCGCATGTGTTGCAAGGTCACATTTCCCCGGTGGATAAAACGCAGAGTCATGACAAGTTGTTTGTAGGGGTAGGAAGAAGAGGGTTCCCACGGCGTCGAATTTAGTACCCAAGCTATCAGGATGCAGGACACAGTGCATCGGCCGTCGATCATCGGCGTACAAGGTCAAGCTCGATACAATGTTCAAGCGCAGATGCCCTACACCATATTCTGGCGACTCTACCACGACTGGATTGGAGACCAGGAAGGCGGACAGCGCGACTGCGGATCGTGCACGAACAGGCCCATCCAATGACGCCCATGACCATGAGGGTGCTCGATATTCGGGGGACCGCCTGATACGCGGCTTGTCCACCCACCAGTCCAAAAGGTGCAATAGGTTCGAATGCCACAGGCCGGCCAAATACTGGCCTCCGGTGACTTGTCTAAAGAGATCCGCTATGCCCTCGAATGCCAGCAATCTATCAGACGGGAATGTCAAGTCGCAGGCTGAATAGTCACAGACGAGGGAGTTCCACAGGTGCAAGATGGGTGCCGACATGGCCTTATCCCCAGGCAAGCCTTTGTGTAGGCTATCTTTGTGAAAGGGAGATGCATCGGCATCTATCCCATCAACCATGTTCCAAAGCGGTTCCATGTTTTTCGCAGAGCGAGACAGTGGTATACCGTTAGGGAAACCTTCGCACTTCAGCTCCGACAGGCACTCCCAGAAAATCTGCGACTCGCTAAAATAGATGACTCTTTTCGATAAGAAACGCTCCTGGAAAACCCATCCCCTCTTATGCAGAGGGCCGCCTAGAAGCTGCCGGTCCCGGTAGCTCATGTCGATGATATAATGCCTCTCGCTTCGAATGGCCCCCGCTGGCGCCTCGATCAGAGCCGGAGCGATGGCTGTCGTATCTCTTGCTCTGAATAGCCCACCATGGGCATCTTCGGACGCCGACGCGGCCAGGTTACACGCCGCGTTATTGTAGATGGATCCCATTTGAGGGATCTCATGTGCCTTGTCTTCGCTTGAGTCCTGGATGATGCAGACCGCATCAATCCACAGATACCTGACTGATAATTCCCGTGTCACGACAATAGCGTCCTGAAAGGTCTTTGGAAGCTCCGAGATCTGCTGCTCCCGTCGAAACTGATCAAAGGTCGAGCGAAGAAGCTGGAAGTTTGGATTGTGCCCCCACCGATAGCTCAGCGTGACGTAGGGCGCATTTGCAACATGATCCTGTGAAGGGACTGCCAGTCTCCAATGTTTGTCATGCTTATTGCCAATGTCTAGGACACGGCTGGGCAACCAGTATGCACCTCGCGCCATGTGATGAATACAGCGGCTATGGCTGCTGTGACAAGCCCGGTACCAGTTGGAAAGCAGGTCTAGTGTACGAGCTGAATGCATAGCCTCTTGCAGTGAAAGTGGTGGGAAGAAGCGAGCGGTCATATGTTCTGTTGTAGGTAGCGGTAGTAATTAGCAGGTTGCTGAACAGTACCGCGCGATGCCTTGGTTCATTGAGTGCACATGTCGATGTACATACCGCTGGTAGGGAATAGCTGGAATTTGGTTTCGATGTGACTTCCATCTTTGAGAAAGATGATCACGAGCTGGGGGCCCTGGAGATCTTCTTTACGTCGCATCCGAATCATTGTCGATGCAGTCTCAGACGGAGTTTTTGTCGACAGGTTTTGTAACTTGCGCTTCACATTTTCGTAGACCACACGGCACACGGCACACTTTTCTCTCGCCGCCCTCAAGAAAGAATCTAGTGTCTGGTGATGGCGTCTGTATATGTGAAAGTCTCGCTGTGCTGCCGATGAGTCGCGTTCCGAGTAGAGCGCCGAGAGGCAAACGCGGCAGAGAACGCTGAGGTCTGCCGTTTCGCTCATCGTGCTGTTAATATCCGTAGCGCAAGGCTAGAATACTGAATCCATTCCAAATATTCCTCCGAATCTGGGTGTGGGTGATCATGGCCGCATCTCGAAAGCTGCATGGAGAGGTTTAACGACCAACATACATGTGCACAAGTAAGTACTTTAGGTGACACGTCATCGCCCAACACCACCTTGCAGCCCGAAATTGCACATTGCAGCCTGGACTTGCACCTTTTCCAACACGAAATACCGTCGAGCGCTACATACATAGTCTCTGTTTCCTTCTCGGTGTACACCTCCCTGGGATCCCTCGCATGTTTCCCCCTCTGTTATGCAGCGAAAATAAAATTTAAGAAATAAACTTGAGGCCTACATTGAACTATCGATCCTTTCAACTTCCACAATCGGCGCTTCCTGAGTTGGATAATTGACTTGAGCTTCAGTTCATCGTTTTCCTTCTGCCGAGTTGCAATGTGCCAGCCTATTTACGGGAGGACGCGGTATACAGTCTGTGGCCACTATGCCCGGTCTACGTTTTGCTCATACGTCCCTTGTGGAAAGCAACCGAGCCAGGCCGATATGCAGAAAGCGGGACGTTGGCTTCCTTGCCCCAACCAGAAACCAGCCAAGGACAGCGGGGAAAATACCACAAGTGAAGAGACAAGGCCATGCCCGGCTTGCGAGCATTTGTACGTTGAAACTCCGAACGGATGGACCCTAAAGCCGGCTGGAAGGAAAAATCAAAAGAAGAAATAAGTGTATAAGAAAAGAATTCGGAGATGGATTTCGGGAGTTTACTCGTCCAGTTGCGCTCATGCTACAGGCTTCTCGCAAGAGGGTGTCTTGAGCAGTAGCGGATCGCCGACACGTCATTGTCCTATGCAGGTACCTATTTTTATCTAGCTCTTTGAACGCCTTTTTCACTGCTATCAACGCATCTTGAAGGCGGAATACTTCATTCGCACAAGGCAGCAAGGGTGTGTGTAGGACAGACCATCATAGCCTGGGCGCCGTGGGCATGGCTCGTGCTGAAGGTACCTTACTGTAACTGTCAATCATAGGTTTCAACGCATGCATTGTCACTATGAATTATCTCCTCGCTAGGCCAAAGGACGGTGAATGAGACGGTTATTCCCAGATTTGTGAATCAAACAGGCGGCTAGGATTAGTTCTACCATAAAACACTGACACTTGCAATGTACTTGAAAGGATCACCACGGAAGGACCTCAGTTCACGCTCCAGGTACGTAAGAACCTTACGGGAAGGTAGTGAGTACTCTTGGATGCTAAGTGCTCATCATAGGTCAAGTAAGAAAAGAACAGATACTACACTTGAAAAAGGAAAGGAGAAGAAACAAGTAGAGGGGCCAAGACATGTATTTTATAGGTAGGCAGGCACCTGACCCGAAAGAAAGTTCCAGTGCTTTTCGGGTATTTTATACTTTATCACATACTGTGGCTTTGGCTAGCATGTCTGTACTTGGGCAGGCTACGTGGAAGCAGCTTCATGAAGCAGGCCCAAAGTCAAAGCTAGAGCTAGACAACGAATCAGGCATCCCGGTGGCTCTGGGTACACGCCTCGCGATGAGAATCTTCTCGTCGATCCGCTTGCCCTCAACCAAAGGTTTATCCAAGACGGGGGCTTGGGGGAGGCATGGCAGGTTCTCGGTGAACTTGATAGCGACGTAGTAGGTCATGTTGATCCAGTGCATGGGGTAGCACGTCCACCGGAAGGCGTTATATGTGCCCTTGGGCACCAAGATGGCCATCCACTCGAGGAGCGCGACCATCTTTAAGGCACATCAGACAGGATCCGTAGTTGTTCATCCCTAGGTATACATTCTGGCAGTCATTTCAGCTACGCAAAGTGCATGTTAAGTGAACAGCATAACATGCCCAGAGAGACCCATAAAGCCTTCCAAGCTGCACATCTAACCAGAAAACCCGGCCAGGCACTCATTTTGTGCATGCACCAATCGTAGGCAACGAAGAGCACCTTGGGCAGTGTATCAGCAGTTCATTAAAACAGATTCCCCACGTGCTCGCGCTGGGAGACAGGGCGACGACATTCAAATCGGCGGACTAGAACCTCGGCTGGCGGCGATTAACACTAGGTTTGCTGGGTCAACCAGAGCTCTTCCTACCAACAGCCAATCTGATCATCATCTGCAGTCTGTATCTCTTCAATTCTCACATTTTCATTTCATTTCCTTTGGGAGCCCCAGATCTTGTTTGTCTGTAGAAAGGCAGGCACTTCACGTCCCAGCCTGTGAACCTTGTATCTTAAATGAACCGATGAGCACGACACCTCAACAACCAGCCCTTCCGCGATCTCAGCCAGCCGTTCAGACTCACAAAAAGGCCACATGTTGTCTCTGATGAACCTTTTTAGAAGCTCAACTACTTCCTTTGTTGTAGCGCGTTGCAGTGTTCCCCAACGAGGTGCATCATCGCCATGCCAGCGACAGGACATTTTCACATGCGACAAGTTACGCAGCCCCATATCCCTCGCGAGTATGAGGGTTTTAAACCAATCTTCCCTCGCTTTTTCTTGTACTTTCTCTTGTACGAGGGCGAAGAGGCCAAATTCAAGGCAGGCGAGGTAGGGCAGTGTCGTCGAGGCAATTCTCTCAGAGAGGAACTCGGTGGCCACATATCGGGTAGGAAACACCGACGGCGCTCCCGGCTCCTGAATCTTGAACATCAAGGAGGTGTCCGGGTATACTTCGATCACATTATTTCTCGAAAAGATTTCCCTCGCCTTCTCATAGAAGGACCTGCTCACGAGAAACAGCGGTCCAAGCAGGTACCAGTCTTCTTGCGGTTTGTCGGACCCATGCAGACAAAATCTGTCTTTTGGGTCCCAGACATAGCGTGAGGTGGGCGAAATCAATGATGTATACTCAAGAATCTTGATCTAGATTTCGACAGCGAGGCGGCAGAATTGAAAAGGAACGGTGTGTCCTTGCGCGATTGTTGATTGTTCCATGACCTGATTGCCTCGCCAACGAGAGGTAGCACCCGTTCAGCACGTCGATTTATGACGTCCACAGAAGGAGGTGCCTGGTGAAGACGCTGCTCATCAAAAGGCGACCGCACCGAGATGGTCCATTCGGTGAAGGCCAAGCTTGAGAAGGTGACCCATTCTCACAATAATGAATCTACACCGTCGCGTAATGGGTTATATTTTCTCCAAGATTCGGCACTGCCAAGGCGGAGCCTGTTAAGAATTAATTGATATTAGGAATAAGGGTATTCCTCACTGGTCGCGAAGTGAAGGAGGCACTTTGAGATGGGCGTCATGCAGCAACTTACTAAGAATTGCACAACAGGTGGCTATTTTTGGACCAAAGCCAATGGTCCAATAATCAATGCATAAAGTAGACTGTCTCCTCCCAACATCGTCGTACTCCTTGGGTTCAACGGCGTACAAGCAGCAAGGAGACAAATCGACATAATGACGATGAATATCTTGAGTCTCCCGCCGGAGCTGGTGACGCGTATCTTTGATGAATTTGCCAGTTCTGTTGAAGTAAAACGTGCCATGAGACGCCGCGTTGTTAGTCGCCAATTCAAACGCTTCATCGACGACGCCATCTTCCGCCTTTGCCTTCTAGACGGACACAAGAATAGAATTGAAGCTACCCACTGCGTAGGGCGGTATTTACCACAGCCTGAGCGCGACTTCATCGCTGAGTATTTCGCATACCAGGCGTCGATGGCAAAGGACCCGACATCAATCATCGGTCGCATCTGGCGTGCGGCTGAGGTCGTATCAGAAAGAGCTGGAGAGGCGGGGCAGGAGTCTGCGCACGCACGCTTGAAATCCCTTTGCCTTCTCTCTCTGAAGGACTGTGATTTGCTGAATGCACTATTCAAAGCCCGGCGTAGGTCGCGCCCAACCGAATGTTCGGCCGAATCTCTGGCCGTTGATGATCGCGTTGCGGCTGCCTATCTGGGTGATGAGGCTTATATCCAGACGCTGGTCGCGCAGGGTGATGAGCTCTGCACTTGGGGAGGTGTGGCCGATGTGAAGAGCGATATCTTTGGTTCTGCTTTTGATGCCGCCGCTCTTGCTGGCAACGTGCCCATGATGCGGCTTCTGCTCTCATCCAACTATCATTATGACCCGCCGGGAACTATCATGCCATGTGATCTTCAGCGCTGCATCCTCAAACGAGCCTCTCTTGGTGGCTATGTGAATGCCTTCGACTTCGCTCTCGATGATGGCCCGCCTCTGGATCTAGAAGCCGGTGAGAGGAGAGAGATCCCGGGGCCTGGGTTTGACTGCCTCAAGGGGGCCATCGCCCAAACGCCGATTGTCGAGAACTATAAACGAGGCGCGGGCATGTTTTCGCCGGATAGCAAAGTTTTTAAGAGAGGCCTTGGTGACCTAGATTCGCGGCTGACCCGATCAGCAGGCCGTGGGCATGTGGACATGATGAACTACTTTCTCGGCCTTGGCGCTTCACCCAATGGAGCAGCAAAGGACAATTCGACTTTCAAGCCTCTTTTCTGGGGTATCCGCAGCGGCATCCCCGAGGCTGTCAGGCTCCTTCTCGCCCATGGCGCTGACCCGAATCCGTTCTCGCCTGAAGAGACGGCACTTATGAAGGCCGCACGTGTATCGTCCATCCCCATTGCCAGGATGCTGATCGAGGCCGGTGCGCGAGTGAACGAAGGCTCACCGCCCCCGATCGTCGTGGCTGTGTTCAAGGAGGACATGGAGATGTTCAACCTTTTGCGCGGTCACGGCGCGAGGCTGGACACGCCTGAGACTGGGAACTGGGCCATGGCCGTGGCTCGGTTTCACCAACTTGATTGCATGGTCAGGATGCTCGAGCAGCAGGGCGTTGAAAAGGACGCTGTTCTGCATCGGTGTTCAAATGTTCTGGAGAGCTATGACTTTGAATATATTTTTCCGGTGCCGCTTCATCTGGAATTGGAACATGACCCAGAGGCTGCAGCATTGCTGGGAGCGCTCGAAGAAGGACAAGAATCAGAAGAAGAATAGCGGTACTGTTGGCAAAGGGGTCATGGAAATGGGGCTTCATTCAACATAGGTACAAATAATGGTTTGGTATCATGCTACGAACTTGATTAATGGAGAACTGATCATGAGAATATAAACGAGTGACGCTTTACAGAATCATCCTAAACATTATCTACGGTATTGACGTAGTCCCCCTCAGAACGACAGTGGCCTACCCTCCTTCAGGCGTCACGCTTCGGACGTTTCAGTATGGTTAGAAGATGGTGGCTGTCATCTTCATCAATGGACGCCTGGACAGTTCCAACCTCGGCGTTTCCGAACTCATCCTTATTCTCGTCCAGCATCTTATTGTAACCGCCGAGGAAGGGGTTGTTATTAATCTCATTCCATCCGGCCTTACCAGGATGGAATGCGGCTTTCAAAGGGAGAACGCCGGCGTCTTTGCCCTTTTCAGCGAACGCCTGATGCATAGAATCCTTTACGTCGTCATTGATGATATTGCTGTCGCCCAAAGCCGTAAGCTTATCAGGTGAGCCACCGGCCTTTTTCCAGCCATCTTTTATCATGTTGCGTCGGTTCGTGCCTTCAGGAAGGTTTCGGTCCTTTGTCTCAACCCATTTGGTGTTGAAATATCCACCTTGGTCCGTCACTGATGTTTGGTACTGCATAATGGGTTTCTCCCCATACGTCTCTTTCCCCTTGTCAGCAGGATCGACACTCCACTGCTTCCACTGCTTATTCAATCCGCGGAACGGGCCTTCACTGCCTACTTCGACCTTGTACTCAGACCGGCTTAAGCCAATCGCATTGAGTGCAGGGTCGGGCCTTTCTTCTCGGTCAGGATTCGTGTCAGGTTTCTGCTCTTCCGTGGGTTTCTCTTCCGTCTTCGGCCTCTTATGGCTGCTCTCGGGACTCTCGCTCCCAGAACTCTCGCTCCCGGCGGCCTTCCTCTTACCACTATCTCCGCCTCCATTACCACCGCAATCTGACGATCCAGCGTCTGAGCCATTGCGCCTTCGCAGAGAGCAGCTCTTTGCCTCGCCGTCAGTCTTAGTAGGGGTCTTCTCCTTGGTACTAGTGGAAGTGGGAGCCGAGAACGCCTTGATAGCTTTCTTGCCACCAGTTTTCTTGTTGTTGGCTTTCTTGTTGTTGGCTTTCTTGTTGCTAGCGTTCTTGTTTCCAGCGTTCCTGTTGCCAGTCTTCCTGTGATTGGCTTTCTTTTGAGAAGCTGCTTTTTTGTTGCCAGCCTTCTTGCGAGCAGCTGCACTCTTCCCAGCACCGGTTTTCTTGTTGCCAGCTTTCCTATTACCAGCTTTATTGCGAGCAGCTGCATTCTTGTCACCGGTATTCTTGTTATTGGCTTTCTTGCGAGAAGCTGCGTTTTTATTGCCAGCCTTCTTACGAGCGGCTCCATTCTTTCTGGCACCGGATTTCTTGTTACCGGCTTTCTTATTGCCAGCTGGCTTGCGAGCAGGTGCATTCTTCCTAGCACTGGATTTCCTATCGCTGGGCTTCTTGTGAACGGCTGCATTCTTATTGCCGGTCTTCTTGCGACCAGTTCTGTTTTTATTGCCAGCCTTCCTGTTAGCAGCATTCTTGTTTCCAGCTTTCTTCTTGCCGGCCGTCTTCTTGTTGCCGGTCTTCTTGTTGCCGGTCTTCTTGTTGCCGGTCTTCTTGTTGCTGGCCTTCTTGCGAGAAGCTGTGTTTTGGTTACCAGCCTTCTTACGAGCGGCTCCGTTCTTCCTGGCACTGGATTTCCTGTTGCCGGCCTTCTTGTTGCCTTGGACCTTCTTGCGAGCAGCTACATTCTTGTTGCCAGCTTTCTTCTTACCAGCTCTCTCGTTTCCAGCTTTCTTACGAGCAGCCGCGTTTTTATTGCCAGCCTTCTTGTGAGTAGCTGTATTCTTTTTGCCGGCTTTCTTGCGGGAAGCTGCGTTCTTGTTGCCAGTCTTCTTAGTACTGCCAGACTTCTTATTGCCAACAGCCTTCTTGTTGCCTGGAACCTTCTTGCGAGCAGCCGCATTCTTGTTGCCAGCCTTCTTACGGCCAGAAGCCTTCTTATTGCTAGTCTTCTTGCTGCTAGGGGTCTTCTTGTTGCCAGCAGCTTTCGTATTGACAGTGGCTTTCTTGTTCCCTAAGCCCTTTTTGCGAGCAGCTGTATTCTTGTTGGCGGTCTTCTTGTTGGCGGTCTTCTTGTTGGCGGTCTTCCTACTGCCGGCCTTCTTGTTGGCAGTCTTCTTGTTTCCGGATTTATTGCGAGCAGCCGCATTCTTGTTACCGGCCTTCTTAGCACTGACAGCCTTCTTTTTGTTTCCAGGGTTCTTGACACCACCAGCCTTGTTGCTAGGGGCTTTCTTATTACCAGTCTTCTTGTTGCCGGCAACCTTTTTGCCCCCAGAAGCCTTCTTGCTCCCAGAAGCCTTCTTGTTGCTAGGAGCCTTCTTGTTGCCAGTCTTCTTGCTACTAGCAGCTTTTTTGTTACCTGAGACCTTCTTACGCCCAGCTGCGTTCTTGTTGGCGGTCTTCCTACTGCCGGCCTTCTTATTTCCAGTGGCCTTCTTGGCTCCGGCCTTGGTAGGGGTCTTCTTGATGCCAGAAGCTTTCTTGTTGCTAGGAGCCTTCTTGTTGTTTCCAGACTTGTTGACACTACCAGTCTTCTTGCTGCCGGAATTCTTGTTGCCAGCCTTCTTAGTACCGACAGCCTTCTTTTTGCCAGAAGCTTTCTTGTTGCCAGCAGCCTTCTTGTTGCCAGCGGCCTTCTTGGCGCCAGCGGCCTTCTTGGCACCAGCGGCCTTCTTGGCACCAGCGGCCTTCTTGGCGCCAGCGGCCTTCTTGGCACCAGCGGCCTTCTTGGCACCAGCGGCCTTCTTGTTGCCAGCGGCCTTCTTGGCACCAGCGGCCTTCTTATTGCTAGAAGCTTTCTTGTTGCCAGCGGCTTTCTTGGCTCCAGCAGCCTTCTTCACTCCAACCTTGGCAGGGTTTTTCTTAGATCCGGCCTTTGCTGGAGTCTTCTTGTTGCCCCCAGCCTTGGAAGGAGGTTTCTTAGTACCAAAAGTCTTCTTCGCTCCAGCTTTGGCAGGATTCTTCTTGTTGCCCCCGGCCTTGGTAGGAGTCTTCTTAGTACTAGAAGGCTTCTTAGCACCGGCCTTCTTGTTGCCTCCGACAACGGCATTCTTGTTTCCAGGCTTCTTGGCACCGCCGGCCTTCTTGTTGCCTGCAGCCTTCTTTGGAGGGGCGGCTTTCTTCAGTGCAGTCTTCTTCGGCGCAGTCTTCTTGGGTGTGGTTTTCTTGGGTGCGGCTTTCTTGGGCGTGGTTTTCTTGGGCGTGACCTTTGCTGGAGCGGTCTTCTTAGGTGGAGCTTTCTTCGACGCGGTCTTCTTTGGTGCAGCCTTCTTGGGTGCAGCTTTCTTGGGCGTGGCCTTCTTCGGGGCAGCCTTCTTCGGGGCAGCCTTCTTCGGGGCAGCCTTCTTGGGTGCAGCCTTCGCTGGTACGGCCTTCTTGGGTGCAGGAGGTCGCTTTACACCCGCACGTTTGGTTGGCATCCGGGGTCTCAAGTCTTGGGCTTCGATGGCTCTATGTGCCAGCTTGCGACCACCGACAGTGCTTTCTTGGTTGCTCGTGGCCAATTCGTGGCCGGCAGTGCCCTTTGGCAGAGCTAATAAACTCGCCAGGCCAGACAGGGCGAGGAAGATTGCGTTGGCCTTCATCTCGAAATCAATTGCGGTCAAAGGATGGAATAGGTATAGACATTTGAGATCAAATGATACGAATTAAAAATGATTGAAAACTTGACACCGCTTGGAGAGTATTAGAGAAGGTATAATGAAATGGGCAGATCATGGCGATGAAGTATAGAGATGCCTACCCACATGTGAATGGCTACAGCCCAGTTTCCATACCCAAGACGCATTCTGGGAGACTGGAAGACTCAATATCAGGTTCCGCCTAGCCACGGTGGTGCCATCCTAGCCGAATGTTGCATATGCGTATGCGTAGTTGACAAAGGGTCGACTTTTATAGTAACAAACTATTGTCAAAAGGTCCCAATCCTTTGATTAGCGACTCGAAAGCGTGCCCCAATCCCAAGGGAATGCGTTTGAAACAGCGTGTCTATGTGATGTGTAAGTCAGCCGATCAAAATAAACCTGATCCATTTGCATACCGCATTTGCAGCTTTGAAATTATCCAAAGTCCCAAATACCTCATCGTATGATCTTAATATTGCAAGATGGAAACCGCTGCAAGTTTGTCAAGAGCTGATCACATCCCTGGATCCTCTTTTTAGCGATACTCCACATAATATAAGTTCTTTGGATACTTAGCTTCGATGCCTTCTGCAAGGATTTGTGTCCCCCCCGCGAGATGTCCTAAACTAGATGATGAGGGTTGCTGGACGGGTGGTAACCTACCAACCACAGCTGAATCCTCATCATCCTTGATATTAGCCCAAATGTCCGGCATCTATCATGTTCACTGTCGCAGGCCCTCTGTCTCTGCTCTGCCATTGAAGAGCTTGTTGCTGCCAAGAGTTTACAAGGTATGTATGGGGCTGCTCATAAGCCTAAGGACCCAATCCCAAACTCAGGCATGGCGGCGACTGCACCTTACTAAATTTTCTAAAGTCCTTTTTGATAAATCTTGCCTTTTGATAAGCAGGGTTAGCCTGATGCCTCGAAATATGTTAGCCCGTATTGGAGAAGTCGAATATTTAAAGACCCAGACGCTGTTTTGCGGTCCCTGGTTCTCTGGCAGCAACTCGGGAGGTGATCTCCTTCCATGTAATACTACTATCGCGGCGGCGTCAGAAGATGCGCATCTCGCGGGTAGACTTAATGGAGGATAAATGCGCTGAGCGAGGTGGACGGCGATCCCGCATGACGGCAGACTTGAAGCGAACGAGGCGCGCGGACTTTGAAGTCACCTTGGTGAAGAGCTTTGCGCCATTCTAGTTCTCGGCTTCTATTTTCGGAACTCGGGAGCCGCCCTCATCGATAAAATACCATGTGGGCAAATGGCAGGGCCTCCAATTGCCGCGGCCTCATCTTCAGCACCAGGGTGTATCTTGTACGGGACGGGCGAAATGGCCCATATAATCCCAATGGCGATGCGGTGTGATGGAAACCGAAGAAGAATTCCATCTTTCAGGCTTGCATTTCTCGCTCCTGCCCCAGATTTCGTTTGCTCTGCCTCGGAAGGAGGCGGCCGCAGGTGTTGAGGAAGACGGCAGAGCAGGGGGAGCATGACAGTGAGTTCAATCAATCTTTCCATGCAGCTCGCCCGTACCAACGGGATGCGCAGATCTATTTCGATGGTCGATCGAAGCCCACGTTCAAAGCCGTGCAAGAGGTGAGTTACTCGCATTCCGACAATCAGTCGTGCTGATCATCGAGGGCTGGAGGTGTTGGCGCAATGCTGTCACAGGCAGGGTTGACCCGTGTTGGAAACTTGGCAGGTGGATGGGCTCACCTCATAAATATCTATCGAATCATTGCTAGAAGCATTTTAGCTTCCCTGATCCTTCATGTCGATATGAATAGTGCAAAGACTCTGGTGTTGGTGGCGAGAATTGGGATGACATGGCCCATTTCGCCGACCTCCGTCATTTACCATTCCATACGAGATGCACCCTGATGACGATGAGGGCGTAGTCATTAGAGACCCTGCCCGAGCGGGTCAGAGCTATAACCAGAGGGTATTCCATCGATAGATGTAGAATAAATAATTATTACTAGGTTTGATTACATTGAAGAATTCTGTTATATACTTTTTGGCTCTTGGCCCCCATCCTGACCTGACTCTTCACTTGAAAGTTCTTCGCCAATCTGCACTATTCGAGAGAAAACCTGACTCCAACCAAAAAAACAAACAATATTCGCTTCAACGTAGAGTTGCCCTGCAATCTCCCAACAACAGTTCTGTTCCAATCTGGTATCTTCCAAGTCCAAGGCATCCTACAGCCAATACGAAACAAAGGTATATCCAACAACCTCCACTCGCTCGACCCAACCAACAGACAGCCCAAGTCTGCGTGACAAAATGCTCAAAAAGAAAAAATGTGAAAGGACAGAAAATCACCCAACGCTTTTAACAAATATTGGGGCCAGCACGCCTTGAAAATCTCCATCTCCGCTGCCTGTCATGTTCCGTCCCAGCTCTATTGGCCTGTTCTTCATGATTATGTCCTTGCATCCAGGGGCAAATGGCCGCCGAGATGGTCCGGGATAGCCTTCAATATTTCATACGATGAAGATGCGGCCTTTGGACCAAGACGCCACCACACCAAGGGACTATATATGCGCCAACAACAGCTCCCTCCATAAACTGTAAATCAACTAGATTGAAGCCGCTTTGAAGACCTGAAATGGGTGAATAAAAGGATAGATAAGATCGAATCAATGCTCGGTTGCCCGATAGAGATGTTTCTTCCCAAATGCGCCGAGAAAATCAAAGGAAAATAAACCGCAGTGCTAAAGAGTGAGGTAAAAGCAAAAGTTGATTAAAAGAATTAAGACGAGAGGAAAGTGGGTTCATAGACCATGCCGTATGGTGGCATCGTCGTACGTAACGAACGTATAGAAGGGGTGAGTGTCTAACACACCCAGACTCCTCTTGGAGAGAGTTTGTTCTCGGTTGTCTCCACTATCTAGGCGGGCCGTCGCTCAGCTTACGGCCGCCTGTTGCCCAACCAGTTTCAATGTGGCGGGGTTGTATAGGAATCCACTGGCCAGTTCTGGGGTCTTGTTCATGAGGTTGCCCAGGCTGACCATGGATAATCTGGGGGGGACCATCCATGTGTGTTCGCAATGGCGGCAGTCGCTCTCCTCCGCCTGCCGATGACGATGCCGCCGAATGAGGTCGAGATGGAGCACCAAATCCTGGACCGAGATTCGGGGCCTGCCCAAGTGGGGTTCCAGGGGCACCAGCAAGCGATGCCAGAGAGGTTTCGGAGCCGTCATCGATCCTTTGACGCCGGGCTGGCCGTTCATTAGACGAGGCTTCACTGCTGTACTCTCTAATGTTTCGACTATGACGAGGGCTATAAGATCCCACCCGTGCTGGCGTTATCGTGGGGCTGGGTGGCGATGCGGCGTGTTCAGTGATCGAGGGTGTCCGAGCGACGATCTCGCGCAGCCTGTTTCGTTCTCTTCTGTAAAAGTCTCGCTGGACTGTCAACTCTTCGATCTTAAGCTCCATATCTTCTCTGCTCTCCTTAAGATCTTGAAGCTGCCTGGCGTTCTCTTCTTGGATCGCTTTTCTCTTTCGGCGGTGGCGAGTTGAGGCCTTTGCGTTCCGTTGTCTCTTCTCGTCTGCTTTCTTCGACGCCTGGGAGTAATCTACGTGGATTGGAATTGGGGCGTCGCTACCAGGAAGAGATATGAATGCTTGCTGGCCCTCACCCGCTATTATCTGCGCCCCTAGACTGGATCGACGCATGGATTCGGGCCAAGTAGGCTCGTCATGAGGTGGGCCAGTGACAGCTGAAGCAGAATATGATCGTCCTCCATAAGCACCTGGCTGAAAATGGGGGTGGGCGGGAGAAGGTTGGTGATAGCCGTGTGTGTCTCTTGACGGAGCGTCCAGGGCTTCTCCGGAAGGAAGCTGGTGAGGTCCTCCCTGTGGTTGAGTCATTGGTTGCGAAAATGACCGGGAAATGGCGGCAGCAGCAGGTAGATTAGGTGTATGCGGAACACTTGATGGGTGACCCCGGCTTGAAACATGCGGTCTGTATTCTTCTGGACCATCATCTTCTCGGCGACGCTTCGCAGGAGACATGCTCGGGACCATACCATGCGCTCTTGAATCTGTTTCCCTTGAGGGGAATCCCCCCAGCCCGATACTCTTCAGGCCCGGGCCTTTGGGGCTGGGAGCTTGTCGATTATCCGTTGAGTGGGAATAAGGCAGGGCTGGCGAATTCCGTTCGTGCAGCATCGAAGGGGGCAGCGGTGCCCCGGGCCCAATAGGAGTGTTTGGATGTGAAGCAGAACCAGGAGCCGCATGATCTGGATGGCCTGTGAAGACGCTGATTCTGTCCCCAGAAGGTCTGCCCAATCCAGTGCCCTCGTGAGCTCTAGACTGAGGCTCTGGTGGGTTCAATATGTTATGGACACCCAGAAGTCTTGGTGGGACTTGTTGTGGTCTCACGTCTTCGGCAGCATGGAACCCGCTGCTGTATTTCGGAGCGCCAATGCCACTGTCAGGCTGATGCGGCGCATTTGGGTTACTCGTCGACGTCTCCCGAATCGACGACCCAGGAGTCTGGTAACCGGAACCATGGGGCGTCGCAGGACTCCTCTGCGACATTGAGATATGATCCCCACTGATTTCTTGGCCCCAGGGCCTACTACATCGATTGTCTTGCCCCGTGCTGGGATTCTGTGGCACGCTCTGCCCAAAACTGAGCCTCTTCGGCGAGGTCTTTGAAGAATAGGTAGGAGTTAGCGGCGTCCGCGGGGAGTTTGGGCTCGTCGTGGCCGTATATTCAGTGAGGAGAGAGGCAGGACTATCCTGGACGGGCGCTGCCTGTTGCAACAGGCTGGTCGTTGTGAGCGCCAGGATGATGTCGATAACCCGGGACTCGCTGGGAGTGGATACCCAAACAGCCCGCTACTTCTTGGTAAATCGAGGACAGGAGTTGGGGGAAGATGCCAGAATCTCTTCGTAGACCAAGCCAGTCGCTTCCTGGTCAACCTCTTCGCTTCTCACCGCG